TCTGACCCAGGTTTCAGCTCCCCTTGTCATGACTCCCAGGCTGACACCCTCCTCTGCCTCTGCTGCCTCCTCAGTCAAGCCCTCAGCCACTTAATTACCATCACCTGCACCCTGTCATCAGCTCATGCCACACACCTGCCTCCTTTGCTATATAACACCCAGCCTGTTCTCCAACCAGTGCCCGATTATTGAACACTCCTGTTAGTAAATTGTCCAGCACTCCTAACCTCTGCCTGAGTCATTGTTCCTGACCTTGTTCCTGAACCTCTACCTGCCCACGTACCTGCTCCCTGCCTGGATTGTTTCTCTGCTTCTGACCCCCTGGACTCACATCCTCTGGATTCTGCCTCCTGCCTGCCCCTTGTAGCGTTCAGGGATCTCTCTGGTTTTGACCCATGCTTCCTCCTGACCCTGCCTCAGCCTCGCCCACATCTGGTAACACCTAGTTGTGTTTTCCTTTTAATAAAGACGTTAATAAGCGCCTTGCTGTGTCTTGGTGTCCTCACGGGTCCTCTAGTTCTGGTTGACACACCCCTTGCCCCGCTGGGAGGGTTGAAAACACCACCATCACCTACTGGAGACTGCTGCTCCTCGACCCCGCCATCACCTGCTGGAGCCTATAGTGTGCTGCTGCGGCCTGGACCCGACCCAGGTTTCAGCTCAGCTGCCCCGCTGGGAGGGTTGAAAACACCGCCATCACCTGCAGGAGATTGTGGCGGGCTGCTGCGGACCCAATCTAACACAGGAGTGAGCTCCACTGCCCCGCAGGGAATTAAAAACACCGCCATCACCTGCTGGAGCAGGTGGGATGCTGCGCCCTGGATCTGACCCAGGTTTAAGCTCCCCATCCCTGCTGGGAGGGTTTGAAACACCCCCATCATCTGCTGGAGCCTGTGGCAGACTGCTGCGGGCCGGTGTTGCACCAAATTCTGCGACCCATCCCAATTTGTGACCCCAGGGGGCAGTGTTGCGTTTTGTTGCATCTGTACATCCTGAAATGGCATAAAAGAAGATGCTAGGTTAAAACCGTAACTACGTAAGCTTTGAGGAAGTTGTGCAGCGTGGACCATGATCACACAATGATAGTGGCTGTCACAGAATGTGGCCATCTGCATCTCAGTAATAACACAGATGTCAGAGGTCAAATGCACTTTTTTATAAACTACATCATCAGAAGTTACCAAAAACAGTTTGTGTGGTGTAAAAATCATTGTAACTGCAGTTAAAGTAAGGTCACACAATATGCATCTCCGTAATAATGCAGATGTCTTTAATTTTCACTAAAGATATTAACAAAAGGCGTTTCGTGATGTTTGTGTCATTTTATTTCCCTTTTATCTCCACCAGTACATATGAGTGGCATTGGAGTGACAGAAAAAAATGTAGCAACCAGATAATCTGCAAAGGTTTCTAATAAACCGAGGATGTGGATGACAATTTATTTCAATAAATGGAAGTTCTGAACATTTTACCTGCGGACCTCGCATGTTAGCAAACATTTCTTGTCAAAGGCTAGCCCTGCTTATCGCTGCATTTATTGTCCCGTTTGTTTACAATAAACATCAACAAACGCTCTTAATATCCATGGTCCACGCTGCACAACTTCCTCAAACCGTACATACTAGTTTATAGTTTGAATGTAACATCTTCTCCTTTTATGCCAATTCAGGATGTACAGATGCAACAAAACGCAACACTGCCCCCTGGGGTCACAAATTGTGATGGGTCGCAGAATTTGGCGTAACACCGGATCTGACCCACATCACTGCCATTATTGATACATTTCCCTTTTCTGACCGCCAGGGGGGCTCAACAGGCACATGGGGGCGTGTTTTGTAGGGGTTTGTAGCGGCTGCAGCTGCATCTAGACCTTACTCTCAACACTGGGTAAATACCATCGAAATAAATATATGGACAATGGGTTTCCATAGGCTCCAATAACAAGTTTTTCTGCTAAAATGGGAGGTGGCCACCACCGCCATTTTGACCGTGTCACAGGTTCCGTCAAGCCCAGACAACTCCATAAGAGGGAAGAGAGATGGACCTGAGGGTGGGGCTGTAAGGCTGGGATCGACTGACGACCCGGTCGAACTAGCTACAAGCTAACATGAAGCTAACCCAAAGCTAATGCGGAGGTGGGAACTAAGCTAACGGAGGTAGCAACCTAGCTACAACTGGAGTTAACTGTGCACAACACCAGAGCTTCTGAGTCAGAGATACGCCGGGCTGACCGCTGGGTAAAACCGGGTGGAACACAGAGTTCTCCGAGACCTCCACAAGCCGGCAGCCGCACAGCAGACAAGCACCGCTGCGATCTGAGATGCGCAGAGCTGCCGCTGGGGAGAACCGGGTGGAAAGGTTTCCATCCAAGAGCTCCACAAGCCGTCAGCCCGCGCAGCACACAGAAGCCGCGATCAGACAGAGATGCGCCGAGCTGCGGGGAGAAGTGGCGTATTTTGGCGGTTCTGGCTTGCCATAAGAACCAGCCGTCAGCCCGCGGAGCTAAGCTGCGATCAGACAGATGCGCCGAGCTGCTGGGAGAACCAGCCGTCAGCCCGTGCGCAGCAAACAGAAGCCGCGATCAGACAGAGATGGACCGGGCTGCGGGGAGGGGATAAGGGTGGAAAACATCGGTCTCCCGAGAGCTCCACAAGCCGATAGTCGGAACCCAGCTCCACCAACATGTTATATCTCAACCCATTTTCTAAAGTGCAGCATTATGTTAAATGCACTGGGTTTTACCCTATTACATTTAAATTTCATGGTTAGACAGTACATGTTAAAATCTAAGCTCAACTCGGCAGTTAACTAAAATACATAAATATAATTTTGAAAAAAATGAAGTGGAGACTCCTTGGACGCTCTATTAGTGAAATTAATGCCACAGCAAGTCATTTTGTCCAACAGTTGCACAAAAAATATCCAAACAAGAATACACAAACACAGAGACTCAAAATCCCGGAACAGTTTCCAAGCCAGACCGAGGCTCTACTGAGGCCTTTCCACGGCGCTAGCTTTGTGGTCACGTGGGTCTGATGCTCATTAATTATAAAGAATTTTAGGCTTTTAATACACTTAAACAGAAGAGTGAGAAAAAATTCACCCCCCTCAGAGTTGTCATGAGTGTAAACTAGATCATTTAAACCAAAAACATGTTTTGGTACCAAGCTGTAAACATGTTTATTTCTGCTGTGAAATTGGTATTTTTAACATGGGAGTCAATGAGGATTTGCTCGTTTCTGACACCAGCCCCCAGCGGATGAGAGTGGAACTGCAATTTATTTCACTTCTGGGTTTGGCTCAATTTCAGAGCTGCATTGTGGGGGCCTGGTAAATACTTAAGTTTGTAAGAAAAGTCCAACTTTTTTAAACTGTATGGATGATACCCTAAATTAAGTTGTATTTTTACGATATCCTCTCCATTTAAAGCCTTTGTATACTCGCTGACCTCCATCGCGTTGTGTTCGTTTTTTTTATTGCAGAAAAGCATATTTACATTACAAATAAGGCAAGCATGCCAATGTATTCAGATGAGAATCGAACAGTCAGTGAAAAGATCTTTAACAACTGACAGCGCCATAGTCTCCCCCTCCCCTCACGTCAAGAGTCTGTGTCATTCTTGACAGCTCACTTTCTTTTCAAGCTCACATTAATAACATAATTCGGTCAGCATACTTCCATCTACGTTCCATAAACCGTCTCCGTCCCTCACTGACCCCTCACACTGCCGCCATTCTCGTCCACAGCCTCGTCACGTCCCGTATCGACTATAGCAATTCACTTCTTTATGGTCTCCCCAACAAACTCCTTCATAAACTGCAAATGGTCCAGAATTCAGCAGCCCGTATTATCACCAGAACCCCTTCCTTTCACCACATCACCCCGGTTCTCCAGCAGCTTCACTGGCTCCCAGTTAAATTCAGGTCCATCTTCAAAATTCTCCTCCATACCTTCAAAGCAATCCACAACCTCTCTCCTCCATATATCTCAGACTTTATAAGTATTCACACCCCATCCCGTTCACTCAGATCTTCTTCTTCCATCCATCTTGCGGTTCCTTCTGCCCGTCTCGCTACCATGGGTAGCAGAGCTTTCAGCCACTCTGCTCCTCGACTCTGGAACTCACTTACCCCAGACATCAGGAACATCGACAGTTTTACCCTTTTCAAAACAAAACTCAAAACATATGTTTAAATCTGTCTACAACCTCTGATTTTATTGAACTGTTTCTCTCTTTGTTTTTTTCTTGTTTGGGTTTTATTATTGTTTTATTGTATTGTATCACGTGTTTTCTGTCAAGTGACCTTGGGTGTCCTCCTGAAAGGCGCTTTTAAATAAAATGTATTATTATTATTATTATTATTATTATAAAAGGGGGAGGACAAATGCAAGGGACCACTACACAGTTCCAGGAAGTCTACACAACAGTCTATACATATCTTCATAGCTGTTATTATTGATACATTTAAGGGATCTTAGATACAATCTAAAATCATGTACAAATGCATTAAACACAGGGGGTGATTTCAGTATTTTTTGTTTATGTATGAAGAATTTTGCCAGACAGAGAAGTAGATTGTAGCAGAGTTCTTGGTTGTTTGTTTGAAGGAGAGTTCCAAAGGTGATGCCATCTCTTGAAATGGGACATGGGATTCCAATTTGAGGTTGAATCTAGTTTTCAAAACAGTTCTAAAACGTCCGTGTCTTGTTGCATTCAAAGAAAATATGATCAGTTGTTTCAACATCCTTCCCACAAAAGGAACATGAATTATCATCAATGTTAAAACGTTTTCTGAGCACATCTTTTGAGGGATAGACATTGTTTAAAATTTAAAAATGTGTTTCTTTGACTTGCAAAACACTTCTTGCCCCATCCTGAAATTTCGCGCATTGTGACGTCACGATAGTCACGTGAGTAAAACCCAGCAATAGCCAATCATAGGAGAGTCTTTCCAGCCAATCAGAGGCGAGAAAGACGGGACCTTCCTTGGACATCCTACGATTCCAAATGACTCACATGGGGCGTCTGCGTGTGTCAATGGGACGAATCGGGAAGGAACGCGTTCGTGGGCCGTTCGGTTCATTTTCAGGAGCCATTTAAATCGGTCTGAAACAGCTGAACGGTTTGTGGAACGCAATAGAACTAAATATGATGTTAATTTTTCATCTCATCATAAATGTCTGAACTCCAGAAACGGTCTGGGTCCACGAACCTTTGCCAGTTATTCCCGAAATCCGTGTTTGTAGCAAGAGTTCAGATGAGTTCCGAACGAAAAGATCATTCCCGTACCGCACAGCATCCATCGCAGCGGCTCTGTCCAGCGGTTCTGGTGTCCGACAACGAGAGGTGAGTTGAATTTCTACTAAATACCGGGGTACAGTAACAAGAAGGTGGATCCGTTAGTTGTTTGAGCCACCAGCAGCTTCCGGTCTGCCTGCTGTCCACCTACGGCGGAGCTAAACCACCGCGGCGCGGCCTGGGTGAGCTCGTAGCTAGAGCCCAGCTCGGCTGCGGACGGGACTGGTGTCATTTCCTATGTCAGTGATGTTCGTCCGAACCTCTGTTGTCCTTCAGCTAGCATGCTAACTTCGCGTGCCGAGCTCAAGTCCGTGATGTGGGCTTAACGTCTGTCAGCACCAACATCCGGCCTGCTCCTGATCCAGGACCGGGTCCCTGGTCTCCGCTGCAGGACCGGGTTTCCAGCCCAGCTGACTTTCCTAAACGAGAATCTGGTGCAAAAGTTCGCTTATGTCAGTAATTCAACTTGAAAGGTGAAACTAGTGTATGAGACGGACTCATAGATACTTCGGGCCTTGATTTGTCATATCTGTGACGATTCTGGCTTCCAGCTGATGACAAGCCCACATAAACATCTCAGACCATCAGATTCTTGTGGAAAGGTTCACCATTCCAGACTCTGATCAGCTGATAAATCCAGAACACCTGCAGAGGGTTCCTGAGCCTTTAGACGGACTCCTGCTGTGTCATATTTGGCACAGATCATGGTTAAAGCTGCTTTAACACTAACCTGAAGTACATTCTCTATGCTCCTAAATCCAGCTGGTAATTAGAGTTAGGTATTATCCTGGTACACAATAGCACCAATGCACTATTCAGTATGTGTTCAGTACCTCGTACCAGATTTACATAGTATGTCCGTGTCTCTTACAATATGCTGCTCAGTTCTTCATTTTTCTATTTGTGGTTTTTAGTGCTGGAAGGTTCCCATGCTAGATACCTGCCTATGTGTGTATATATACACGTGTACCGTTGTATTATTTCTCTTCAGGCTAAGTGTTGGTGCTGCTGTAACAGGTGGATGTCCCCACTGTGGGATCAGTAGGGTCTATTCTATTCTATTCTAGAATCAGCCACTCTTGTCTGGCCATCAGTCACTTGGAAATGAAAAAGCAGAGATTTTTCCCAGTCCTTGAACTCAGCGTTGCTAATCATAACTGAGAGGTTCTAGCAGTGTGCCTTAGGGCCGGGCTCACTGGGCCAAAACTTAAGTCTCAATATAACGGAGCTGAATTTGCTTAAAACTGTCTTCAGTAATTGTATGTTTAAAATCATCAGCAGATTAAATGCATACCGGTATGTAGCGGGGTGAATATTGTTGCTTTTAAGCTTAATATATTACCTTTACTCATGACCAATAAGCTGTGATATAGGATATAACCTGCTTGGTCTTTGGATGTTTAATCAGAAGATTCTAGGATTCTTTGCTTTTTCAGTGATCAAACACACTTCATCTCAATTCAGACAGATTCAGGTTTATAAAAGATAAGAAATGTATTTTCTAAACAAATTAAAACAAGACAAGTTAAATAGGACGACTGTGATGGTTGAATCTAAATGGATGGAAGGTGAGATGTATGGAGCTAGGATTGGGACAATATTCAGCGTAACTTGTGCCAAGTTTTGTAACTTGGAACATGTTTCATCACATGTAACTTTGGATTCGTAACTTGTAACTTTAGTTTTATAACTTGTAATTCTCAATTTGTACTTGTATTTCTTGTTTTGTAACAAGAACATTGTATTTTGTACATGCATTTTTATTTTGTAAAATCAAACTTTAATTTTGTACATTTACTACTCATTTTGTAACATCAAACATTCATTCAGAAACATGAAACTTTCGTTTTGTAACTAGCAGACTTCCAAATTAAAAAAATCAAGGTACACGTTTGAAATCAAAACTCTCAAAACACACATTTCATTCTACAGGTACAGACCTCAAATCTGTCTCGATTCTAGCGTCAGTGGGAGGAGCTTGGGTGGAACCAATGAGAGCACGAGTCTTGGCTACCAATCACGTTTCTCGAATTCCTGTCCAATCATTGGGAGAGGAGGGCAGGGTTCTGTCAGAGCTGTAGAAAGAGAGTTACAACACTCTTTGAACTCGCGGTCACGTGGTTCATGGAGCTCCCAAACATCACAGCGCCGTAAGTCAGTTTGAACAGCGTATGGTGGGACAATCACAAAAATTTAACCTAATCACATTTCCCCTGGCGATTTGTGGTAATTATTGAATAATATTATATATTATATTAAATATTATGTCCTAACTCCTTCACAAAGTAGCCAATTTATATTTTTCCGAGCATTTGTAGGAAGACAAACACCCATGACTGTTCTACATTACAGGAACACGACAGTCCTAACACACTGTAGAACACATTTAGACCACATACATTACTATAATATATTATAGCAATACATTTGATGTAGTAATGCAACACACTGCTCTAATATAAGCATATTTAATAACTTTAAGTCCTACAAGAATCCCTAAACTCGAGTTGTAATATCCATTTTAAAGTGTTTATTGAATAGAATTCTGCTCCAGCTTACCTTGAAGAAAATATGTATCTGTTTATGCTTTGAATGATATCTATTATGTTCAGTAGAATACATTTTACAATCATTACTTTATATTTTTATGTGAAGACAGTACATGCATCTGTATCCAGTTCTATAGCAACTAATTAAAAATAAATTTTCAATAAAACTGTATGATTCATCACAGTAGATAAAAAGTGTTATTTGTGGAAAAAATGAACACCAAACTTGTACATGTATAATAGCATTTTTAATAAAGCATTTTACCAACATTATGTTTAGTCATTACATATGCACAAATAAGCTGAATCATTAATTATGAGCAATGTACTCAAGACCTAATGAAGCTCTTTTGAGTAACTTTATTTTGATTATTATTAAAATAAAATGTGTCCATGGGTTAAAAATTGAAATGGCTAATTTTATGGTTGGATAAAATTTTTAAATGTAATTTTACATCTCTATATTTTTGGTTTAGTTCAGTATTTCTATATGTACAAAAATAGTATTTTAATAATTGCTTTATAGGTTGATTATCTTACCTTGGTTGGCTGCGCTGCATATAGCAAACAGTCTGAGGGAGGAATCAGAATTATGGCTTACCCAAAGATGCAGAGAGAAGAAGAAAATGGTTGGCTCAAGTCAGCAGGAGCAACCTCACCATGACCAGAGATCACAATAACAAAAAGCTGTGTGCAGTGAGTTTAATGTGCACTCTCACATGTTTTCTATCAAGGCTCTACATGTTCTGCTCTCAACTGCACAAGGCTGCAATTAAACTGTTAAACGTGGCAGGAAATAAACTAATACACCACTCTACAGGCACATTTTGAGGAGGGACAGTTTACTAAGACTAGGCAAGGCAAGGTGAGACTCAGGGCTGATGCTGTGTTTGTTCATCGCCCTGAACCAAGGAGGAGGAAGGACCCCGCAGTGAGAAGTACAGCAGAACCACTGCATGTTGATCCACTGACCAGTGACCACAAGTACTCAAGTAAACTGTGGTACAAATCTTTTGAAATATTAAGACATTTTTATATATTTTATTTTAAAATTATTCTTTATTCTAACAGTGTCATTATAATTTCAGAGAATGAGGAAAGCAGCAGCAGCAGTGAGGCAAATGAGGTGAGGGAAAGTGAGACGGGACATGAGATGGTATCAGGAGAGAGGGACATCCCAGGAAGCCATGAGGAGCCGGCGTCAGGGCCAGGATGAGAAAGGAACAGGCTATGCAACCAGGGTACCCAGCTGGAAAACCTACTAAGAGAGGAAACAGAAAATCAAAAAGGCATGAAAAACACATGAGGCATTAAATGGAGTAAACAGACAATCAAAAAGGCCGTACAGCTCTGTTTTTCAGTGGGTTCAACAGGCTGCAGGTTTCTTCAGGGCATGAGTATCCCTCTGCCTGATGTTAGAACCCTGCAAAGACAAATGCAGCCCATTAACTGGAACCAGGTGTGTTAGGAGAGGTGTGTGACATGCTCAGTTTGAAGGTTAAAAATCTGACAGAGATGGAAAGAGAGTGTGTGCTCACTGTGGATGAGATGGCAATCACTCCAGGCGTGCATCACTCCATCACAGACCCAACTGGGATTTGCCACCACCGTTGTTCCTGGTCAGCTCTCCGCTCAGCCACTATGAAAACATGAAGATGGACACACAACACAGTTTAACCTTTAATGGTTACATAAGATCTTTGTTTTAGTTACTCTTTGACATTTATTTATTGATAGTTGTGTTATAAATTCTTATTTCTTGTCATTCCTTAATAACAAAATTGCAAATGCTAATATTATAAAGCAAGTGGAAATGAACAGTTTTATGGAAAATGTCTAATTTTTAAAAGTTATTGTGTTCGACTACCATTCTTGAAATATCGTAATTTTATTCTTATTACTTGGGTCCACAGAATAAAACAACATATCTTCTTACGTTCGTGATCCTGTTTGTCTCATGCTTCAGCAGTTTGTTGTAGTCAGTGTTATTAACTGAAAAATATTAAATAATTACTTGTCTTCACAATCACATTGTCTTTATTATTGGTCTCTCCATTTGTGCTTCCATTTCTGATGCATGTTTGTGTTGATACAGCAACCAGCAACGTATTAAACAAAAAATCCCAAATAAAACTAAAAATGTAAAAAGTTTATAACCTATTTCAAACTGTGGGGAATATTTTTAAAACGTAGAATCAAACAAACTGAAATACAGCTCGTCCTCCTGCTGACAACCAACAAGCTGCACACAGTTAGCTCATTAAAGGTTATCTAGCTAAAACTGGCAACATAAAATATCATTGTTGGCTTATTTTGGTACGAAGCGGTTAGCTAACGCTTCTCAATGCAACAAAATGATGACATTTCATCAACTTACTGGAGAAAATCCTTCCGAAACACCGAAAAATGAACTGCAGTCAATGCAGCAGCGGGGGCTGTTTGGAACTATTCGAAGCTACATGAACCACGTGACTCACGCATTCCGTGTCGTAACTCTCTCTACAGCTCTGACAGAACCCAGCCCTCCTCTCCCAATGATTGGACAGGAATTCGAGAAACGTGATTGGTAGCTAAGACTCGTGCTCTCATTGGTTCCACCCAAGTTCCTCTCACTGACGCTAGAATCAAGACAAAAAGATCTGTAACACTGTAGATTTGAGGTTTGTACCTGTAGAATGAAATGTGTGTTTTGAGAGTTTTGATTTCAAACTTGTACCTTGATTTTTTTCAATTTGGAAGTCTGCTAGTTACAAAACGAAAGTTTCATGTTTCTGAATGAATGTTTGATGTTACAAAATGAGTAGTAAATGTACAAAATAAAAGTTTGGTTTTACAAAATAAAAAATACATGTACAAAATGAAAATTTCCTTTTACAAAACAAGAAATACAAGTACAAATAGAGAATTACAAGTTAGAAAACTAAAGTTACAAGTTACGAATTCAAAGTTACATGTGATGAAACATGTTCGAAGTTACAAAACTTGGTACAAGTTACACTGAATATTATCCCAATCCTAGCCCCATAGAGATGTAAAGTAATTGAATGGGGTGTGTTCATCAGAACCTTGTATCTAGAAGAACTGAGTTCTGGGTGAAAAGAATTTGGTCTGCATTAAACTATGAAGTTGGTTCTTATCAAAACTGCATCAGACGCAATCTGGGTGTGTTCTAAGGTACCAAAGTTCGTAGAAAAGACCGCAGTACGACCATACCGGTATATACACATATATATGTATGTATGTATATATGCATGCGTATATATATATATATATATATATATATATATATATATATATACATATATGTATATATATATACATATATGTATATATATATACATATATGTATATATATACATATATACATATATATATACATATATATATATATATATATATATATATATATATATACATATATGTATATATATATACATATATATATATATATATATATACATATATATATATACATATATGTATATATATATATATATGTATTGTCACGTGCGTGCCGGGCAGCGAGGAGGATCCAAGCGCAGAGAGCAAGAAGACGAACAGGTGAGTCCGTTTAACACAGGTTTATTTAAGAGACACGCTGGACACTGAAACAATGACTCCACAAAGGACACAAAACAGACGGGGTTTAAATACAAGAGGACCGGGAGCTAAGGTGATTGGGAAACAAGAGGCAGGTGGGAGCAATTAACGGAGACACAGACAAAACCTAAGAGTAGACAGGACGGGACGTGACAGTACCCCCCCTCAAAGGGCGGATCCCAGACGCCCACAGGAACCAGGAGCAGGGCGGGAGGAGGGGGGCCCGGAGGGAGGACCCAGAGGAACCGAAGGACCACAGGAGAGGCGGCAGGGATCAGCAGAGTCAGGAGGCCTGCACCTGCTGCAGATGAGGAGGCGACGGGCCCTTGGAGGTCGGTGCCTGCTGCAGATGAGGAGGCGACGGGCCCTTGGAGGCAGGCGCCTGGGGCAGATGAGGAGGCGACGGGCCCTTGGAGGCCGGCGCCTGGGGCAGATGAGGAGGCGAGGACGAACCCTTGGGGTTCTGCGCCTGGGGCAGATGAGGAGGCGAGGACGGACCCTTGGAGGGTGGCGCCTGGGGCAGAGTAGCCCTGCAGGCTGGGCTGGCGACACAGGCTGGACCGGTGACGAAGTCCCTGCAGGCTGGAGCGGAGCGACCTTCAGAATCACCACTGGAACTGGAGACAGAAGAGACATCAGACCAAAGGCGACGTCGGACGAGCCGACATCAGGAGAGGCGACGTCATCAGACGAGCCGACATCAGGAGAGGCGACGTCATCAGACGAGCCGACATCAGGAGAGGCGACGTCATCAGACGAGCCGACTTCAGGGGAGGCGACGTCATCAGACGAGCCGACTTCAGGGGAGGCGACGTCATCAGACGAGCCGACTTCAGGGGAGGCGACGTCATCAGACGAGCCGACTTCAGGGGAGGCGACGTCATCAGACGAGCCGACATCAGGGGAGGCGACGTCATCAGACGAGCCGACATCAGGGGAGGCGACGTCATCAGATGAGCCGTCATCAGGGGAGGCGACGTCATCAGACGAGCCGTCATCAGGGGAGGCCACGTCGACTTGGGAGCAGACTTCAGAGGAGTCGACCTCTGTCCCGGGTGCGTCTGCTTCGGAGCTCGAGCCGGGTGCATCTGCTTCGGACCTCGAGCCGGGTGCGTCTGCTTCGGAGCTCGAGCCGGGTTCGTCTGCTTCGGAGCTCGAGCCGGGAGGCGTTGACTTCTGACCCGGGGCCCCATGGATGGGCTGGACCAGAGCCCGTGCATCCTCCTCTGCCGAGACAAGGTGCGATGCGTCCCCTTGGACCACCGCTGGAGCAGGAGGCGATGCGTCCCCTTGGACCACCGCTGGAGCAGGAGGCGATGCGTCCCCTTGGACCACCGCTGGAGCAGGAGGCGATGCGTCCACCGGGACCACCGCTGGAACAGGAGGCAATGCGTCCACCGGGACCACCGCTGGAACAGGAGGCGATGCGTCCACCGGGACCACCGCTGGAACAGGAGGCGATGCGTCCACCGGGACCACCGCTGGAACAGGAGGCGATGCGTCCATCGGGACCACCGCTGGAGCAGGACGGTTGCGGCGGCGTCGGCGTGTTTTTTTTTGTGGCTCAGCTGAGGTATGGAGAGGACACTGGCAGGAACTGAGGAGGAATGACAGCCCACCGGAGAAGATGCAACAGCGCTGTCTGGTCCAGGCGAGGGTGTGGTGGCTTGGCCCTTCGGATGTGCTGAGAGGGCACCAACAGGTTTAGGGGAGAAGGAAATGAAGCCGGTCCGGATAGTTTGGACCGGGGCAGGAACGGACTGACGTCTCGGAGCAGAAGGAGGAGACTTGGAGGAGGAAGTGGCATGCTCGAAGCTCCGTCCTGAAGCGCAGGGCTGCGGTGGCTTCCGGCGACTTTCCCCACGCCGTGGACCGACTCCGGGAGGGCAGATCGCCAGCCTTGTGCCCTCATAGCTGGAGCGATCCAGGAGCGTCTCCCCATCCCAACTCCCGTCCGGTTCCGGAAGGGCGGCGAGGAACGCCGAGGCTGATGGCCGGGGACGCCGGCGGCGGCGAGGCGGAGCTGGGGCCGGAGAGGGAGAAGCTGGCCGGTGGTCGGACATGAACCACTGAAGAAAGCAACTCCACGGAAGATTCTCCCTGCTGGATCCATTACTGCTTGGTGGAGTCATTCTGTCACGTGCGTGCCGGGCAGCGAGGAGGATCCAAGCGCAGAGAGCAAGAAGGCGAACAGGTGAGTCCGGTTAACACAGGTTTATTTAAGAGACACGCTGGACACTGAAACAATGACTCCACAAAGGACACAAAACAGACAGAGTTTAAATACAGGAGGACCGGGAGCTAAGGTGATTGGGAAACAAGAGGCAGGTGGGAGCAATTAACGGAGACACAGACAAAACCTAAGAGTAGACAGGACGGGACGTGACATGTATACACACACACATATATGTATATATATACCGGTATATACACACACACACACACACACACACACACACACACACACACACACACACACACACACACACACACACACACACACATATATATATATATATATATATACATACATACATACATACATACACATACACTCAACAAAAATATAAACACAACACCTTTGTTTCTGTTCCGATTTTTCATGAGATGGACTTAAAGGTCTAAAATTCATTCCAGATACACAATATTACCATTTCTCTCAAACATTTTTCACAAATCAGTCTAAATGTGTGATAGTGAGCACTTCTGCTTTGCCGAGGTAATCCATCCCACCTCACAGGTGTGCCACATCAAGATGCTGATCCGACTTCATGAGTAGCGCACAGGTGTACCTTATACTGCCCACAATAAAAGGCCACTCTGGAGGAGTGTATTTGCTTGATGATGACAATAAGTTGGGGTGTTGCAACTTTTTTTTCTTCAAGCTCTGCAGATGGACGAGCCGTCGTCCTGAATTTCTCAACTAGCATCCTTGGAATCTAAAATATTTGCACACAGGGGACTTAAAGAGGTTCCTAGGTGGAAGCGAAGCTGTGCCTTTGTTGCTGTTGCTTCTGATGCATGTGTTCTTTCCAATTCTGCTTTTGCTTTGGCCCGTGTGGGTTGCACTGTAGTCTTTTTTTTTAGATGTTGTAGAAGTCTATGGTGGGTTAACTGCTTTGTTTCACACCATGGTTAATAGTCCAACCAGTTAATCCCTGCAATCCACGTAGCACAGCTATGAAACTCACAGAACAGCAGTGAGAAAGCAAGTTTTTGCTTAATGCAGTAACCAAATTAGACTGCAGGGTGTCGTTCTTACTTCAGTCTTACATATTGCACCTTTAAGCTTTTTCTGTATGGGCATGCAAATCACTATGATGCAAGAATGCTGATCAGCATCTTGTTTTCTGATGTTATTCCTGTTTACAGGTGAGCTGCCAACCAGACCACCAGCTTTGTGTACGTCTCTATTGCCATGGACACCATTGTTCATATCAGAGGGGTCCCCATAAGGTCCAGGTCTTCGGTCCGGAAAGAGGTTTGTCTTCCTGGATACGTCAGGATTTTGTCCCTGTGTATCACCATTACCCCTTTTCCAACAGCATGACTCAAATGGGTTTTAAGGGTCTGCTCAGGGACGTTTCCCAGTCCCACCGCACAAGACGGTTCTTCCCTGCTATAGTAGAGCTTAAGTAGGTTCAAAGGACAAAGTTGGGTCCTCTTCCTATAATCAGGTGTATCCTAAATATATTTCTGCTCTGAAATCTGATTCAGGACAGTGCACGGATCACACAAGTTTGCCTGAAATGGCGAACAAGGAATGGGAAACAAAGCAAGAGCCTAATCCACGGCTCTCAGTCCTGCGATCATAAAGCCTTTTCGTTTCATTCCAAGTTCTCTGTGGCCCTCACCCCAGCCATGTACAGTCTAACGAAAGCTATTCACATAATCGATCAAGTTCTGAGGGGGTGTAGGTGGAGCTACTAGGTCATACAGTGAGGATAAAGGTACCCTCACTGAATGACCTAGTCATTTGGACTGAACCAGTACTGTTATGCACCACCTGCCAGGCTGCCAACAGCAACCATAGCAGACCCTTCTCCCAATCCAGGCTGAGTTTGGTGCAGTAACTCCAGAGCAGAGACTAAAGTCTGGTGGAACCTCTCCAGAGACCCCTGACGATATTTTCTTTTTCTTCAGCTGTGCTGTAATCTGTAACTTGGTGTTGTCATGACAATGCAGAGACCTGAGTCTGAATCATCCTAGTTTTCCATGAGCTGTGGTTGCATTTGTGTCTACAGAGTGTCAGTGAGGGCGGGACTCAGGCTAAGAGCCACTTCAGGAACAAAAAGGAGCTATGCAGTGTCAGCCTGGAGCTACAACCCAGAGACATCATGAGGCTGACAGAGGTTTGTTCCAATAATAAACCGTCAGGCTGGACAGGAGCCGCAAGTCTCATGTCTCCTGTCCTCCTCCAGGTCCTGTTTGTGTGTCTGCCAGGACAGCGGGAGGGTGATGATGTCACCCATCAGGTAAATTCCTAAAACTGAAAAATGTAAACCTACTAGTGAGTTGAGAGCCCATGCTGATAGTCTGTGTGCTGGAACCCTGCCCATCCCCAGTCTCTGTCTTCCCTGCCGGGGGGGCTGTGTGAGCTCCTCAAGTCTCTCCATGTTCACCGCCTCAAGAACGACGAAGTTCTGCTGCTCAGAGACAGTCGCAGGCTGGCAGAGCTCCGGGATGCCAGGTCTCAGGTGAGTCCCCCTGCATCAGGTAGTTCCCTCCATCCAGCCACAGCAGCGTCTGCGTAAGGTTATGCTTTACTGTCTGAAGTGCTGACCCACTGGTCACCATGGCTGACGGTTCCCACGCCCTGAAGAGACACAGGCGGGACGAACAGATGTTGTTTGAGCAGCCCACGCTGGCAGCCTCCTTCTTCCTGTATTGTTTGGATGTTGCTCAGTCTATGGGCTTTTGGTCTCTTAATCAGACCTCCCACTGACCAGGTTTATAAAACACGAGCGACTTGGTCAGAGCAGACTCAACAATACCTACTGCTGAACATCTGACTGCAGTTTACACTGCTGAAGTAAAGATTGCTCACAGCAGCAGCTGGTCTCGATCATGCCTGAACGTTAAACGTTTAGTATTTTTGGTGTTTTTCCCCCTGATCTTGTATTTTGTGTTTTCTCTAGAGATGGCTGAAGGCTCTGTGTGTCCTGAGGCACAACCCTCACACAGGCTCCACTCCTCAGGCCACTGTAGCATCTCTGATGGGTTTATTGGGGTGCTATATGGCAGGGGTCCACTACATGCTGGAACTCCAGGCTTTTAAGGGGGACTCGGCGGAGCCCAGTCAACCAGAGGACGATGACACCAACCAGTCCATTTCATCCATAGAGGATGACTTTGTGACTGCTCTGGAGCACCTGGAGGAGGAAGACCCTGCAGATCATCCTTGTAGGTGTAACTGTTACTCTGCCAGAGTTCGTGTGAGCTCTTCTGAAGAATCTAGTATGGAGAACCAAAGTTTGTGTTCCCATGTTTGGTTCATAATCTTGTCCTACAGTGGAACTTCCTCAAGCTGGAAGTTACAAATAACAGTTTGAAACTGTAAAAAGAAAAGTTAACAAATACAAATATTTAAATATTTAACCCTTGGAGGTATTAGCCTATTTTGAGAACTTTTTCATTTTCACCTTCTTTAGTAACACAATGGGCCAAAGGTCGCAAAAAAAACCCCAGCCATTCTTAACCATAGAGCTTCGGCCCACAGCTGGGGTTCCAGCTCCACCTAGAGGTACGCAAGACACCTCCAGTTTTATAGCTGTGGGCTGCTTGATGATTGGTTGTGATGCTGGGGCCACCACTTAGTGGCAGTAACGCATCAGTTAGTTGTTAAAGGAGCAAAATGTTAAAGTTGTACAGTTAAATAATCTGAAACAGTCTAATGCAGGGCTATTCAATTCCAGACCTCGAGGGCTGGTATCCAGCACGTTTTGGTTTTACTCTGCTTCAACACACCAGATTTCTATCAGCAGGTGATTAACAGAGCCTGATGAACTGCTGCACAGGTGATTCAACCACTGAATCAGGTGTGTTGGACCAGAGAAACCACTAAAACGTGCTGGATACCGGCCCTCCAGGCCTGAAATTGAATAGTCCTGGTCTAATGTCTCCATCATGTTGGAAGGAAGGTCATCCTGAAACCGATTTTGCTACCAACACTATTTATAGTGGGGACGGTGTGCTGCTGACCTCTACTCGGGACGTTGTGGATCGGTGGGCAGAATACGTCGAAGACCTCCTCAATCCCACCGACACGTCTTCCAGTGAGGAAGCAGAGTCTGGGGACTTTGGGTTGGCCTCTCAAATCTCTGGTGCTGAGGTCACTGAGGTGGTTAAAAAGCTTCTCTGTGGCAAGGCTCCAGGGGTGGATGAGAACCGCCCGGAGTTCCTCAAGGCTCTGGATGTTGTGGGGCTGCGTTGGCTGACGCGGCTCTGCAATATTGCGTGGACATCGGGGGCAGTCCCACTAGACTAGCAGACTGGGGTGGTGGTCCCCTTATTTAAAAGGGAGGACCGCAGGGTGTGTTCCAACTACAGAGGGATCACACTCCTGAGCCTTCCTGGTAAGGTCTATTCAGGGTTTCTGGAGAGGAGGGTCCGTCGGATTGTTGAACCTCGAATTCAGGAGGAGTAATGTGGTTTTCGTCCTGGCCGTGGAAGTCTGGACCAGCTCTATACCCTTAGGGTAGAATGCCTTCTCCGGGTCAGGGAATTTGCCCAACCAGTCTACATATGTTTTGTGGATTTGAAGAAAGCATTTGACCGCATCCCTCAGGGGGCCCTCTGGGGGGTACTCTGGGAGTATGGGGTACCAGGCCCTCTGATACGGGCTGTTAGGTCCCTGTATGACCGGTGTCAGAGCTTGGTCTGCATTGCCAGCAGTAAGTCGGGCTCGTTCCCAGTGAGAGTTGGACTTGGCCAAGGCTGCCCTTTGTCACCGATTCTGTTCATAACCTTTATGGACAGGATTTCTAGGCACAGCCAAGGTGTTGAGCGGATCCTTTTCGGTGGCCTGAGGATCAGGTCTCTGCTTTTTGCAGATGATGTGGTCATGTTGGCTTCATCAGAACGTGATCTTCAGCTTTCGCTGGAGCGGTTCGCAGCCGAGTGTGAAGCAGCTGGGATGAGAATCAACTCCTCTAAATCTGAGACCATGGTCTTGATTCGGAAAAGGGTAGAATGCTTTCTCCGGGTCAGGGATGAGGTCCTGCCCCAAGTGGAGGAGTTTAAGTATGTTTGGGTCTTGTTCACGAGTGAGGGAAAACTGGAGCGTGAGATGGATAGGCGGATTGGTGCTGCGTCTGTAGTGATGCGGGCGTTGTACCGGTCTGTCGTGGTGAAGAGAGAGCTGAGTCAGAAGGTGAAGCTCTCGATTTACCGGTCGATCTACGTTCCTACCCTCACCTATGGTCATGAGCTTTGGGTAGTGACCGAAAGAACGAGATCGCAGATACAAGCGGCCAAAATGAGTTTTCTCCGAAGAGTGGCTGGGCTCTCCCTTAGAGATAGGGTGAGAAGCTTGGTCATTCGGGAGGGGCTCGGAGTAGACTCACTGCTCCTCCACATCGAGAGGAGCCAGTTGAGGTGTCTCGGGCATCTGGTCAGGGTGCCTCCTGGACGCCTCCCTGGTGAGGTTTTCCGGGCACGTTCAACCGGGAGGAGACCTAAAGGTAGACCCAGGACACGGTGGAGGGACTACGTCTCTCACCTGGCCAGGGAACGCCTTGGGATTCCCCCGGAGGAGCTGGCCCAAGTGGCTGGGGAGAGGGAAGTCTGGGCCTCTTGCCTTAGGCTACTGCCCCTGCGACCTGACTCCGGATAAGCGGATGAAAATGGATGAATGGGCCTCGTAGAAACCCTTTCCACTATCCGCGTAGGTAAACACCTCCACACAAGAAGGATGGTTGGGACTTGTTCTTTATATGTCAGGTGTGAAACTTTAACAATACAGTATTTTTACATCCAAATATAAATAATCGACATATTTCAGAAAATAAAACGTAATATAAATCATAACCTCTTCTCATTACATCCACATGTAATTAAATAACGCATTGTAAATAATACTAGTAAATAGTTTCGTAAATGCTGGATGAACTATCGGCTTTGCCCTTTTATAAGCAATAAAACATGTAAGCATTGTTTAATTGTAATACTTAAAGGAAAGGCCCTTAACTGTGCTCAACAACACACCTGCTGTCTGCGGTTTGAGCCACACTGCTGCCCTGTCCTCACCGCATGGTCTGAACACCCAGCTTCCTGGTTTCCTTAAAGAGACAGCATACATAAATGAAACTTACGGCAGAGCCAGAACAATAACTCATGTTACATTTTCAATGGTCGATAACTGGATATTACAGTGAATTATGAGTCAGTTGTGGCATTTTACTTCCTTTAATGAGTCGTTCACAACTATAACAGCAAACAACAGCACTTCCTCTAACGCCAGAGGCGTATTACCGTAATTAGCGTAGTATATGCACCCTCCCATAAAACACCTAAGAGTGCTAACACCAGATGTGACAGTGTATTCATCTACTTATCAGCTCAATGTGCATGACTCTTCTTTGCTTGTTATCTAGAATCTTCTTGCGCTGATCCAAAAATGGCAACAGCCATGAGAAACTTACTTTTTTAGGAAAATGGGCTGCAGTACCTAAATTTGACCTCAAAATCTCATTCTTACTTCATTTTTACATATTGCACCTTTTTAATGATCTCTAAATAGCAGAAGTAGAAATGAAAATGATGACAACCCCTAAAGGACAAAATAGCTGTGCAAGTACAATCCTGACTTCATTAAGTACAGCTTTGTAAAAGGAGTTAACAAGGTAGAGCTCAGTGGGCGGAGCATGGACTAATGCTGTTGAACAAAGAGGTAACACACACAAGTAGATTTCTTACATATACAGATGCACATTAGGAATGGGCGATAGGACCTCAAATCTATGTTGCAATATATTTTGAAGCGCACACGGTAATGATGTACACTCACCGGCCACCTTATTGGGTACACCTTTCTAGTACCACTTTCTAGTACTACCGCTCACTGGATGTTTTCCCTTTTTTCAGACCATTCTTTGTAAACCCTAGAGATGGTTGTTCGTGACAATACCAGAAGATCAGCATTTTCTGAAATACTCAGACCAGCCAGTCTGGCACCAACAACCAGAGGTGGAAAGTAACGAATTATATTTACTCACGTTACTGTAATTGAGTAGCTTTTTTGTGTATTTATACTTTTTAAGTCATTTTTAAAATCTGTACTTGTACTTTTACTTGAGTACGTTTATAAAAATAATTGTAATTCGCTACATTTTAAATCATATACGTTACTGAGTAAAAATAAATTATAGGCTTAGTAAATTAAAAATATTATGTGTAGCAGCATCGGAACAGGAAGAGACACCTGCATGAGCGCCGCATCTAAACCGAGCTGAGGAGGGGGTTTACACTTGATAATGAGGACAAACAGCCATTTTTACAGCAGGTTTGTTCAAAAACATCAGTTCAGTCCCTGTAATCCACTCGCTGTTCACCTCCTCTCTCCCTCCTCTCCTGTGAGTTGGAACCCGCACCTTCGCGCACCGGTGTGACATAATCAGAATTCTGCTCAGTTCGGTAGCCGGACTCGGTTCCGTGTTTGAAGTGTGTTTCCCTGCCGCTACGCACGGAAGCAGCAAAATAATGTTTAGCGCTCCTAACAAGCTCTGCTCATAAAACAGAAGACCTGCATGCCTCTGTGAGTTAAAACATCCTGATGCTGTTCAGGTGTAAACATTGTGCTCCATCCCTGTGTTTGAACTCAGAAGATGCTCCTTGATGCCACAGATATGTGATGATTTAGCTTGTTTCTTTATTTTACTCCAGAATAAGAGATTAAAGTATTACTAAAGCAGTTCAGTTAAATTAGTCATTCAGATGATTCTAACATGCTGCAGTGTGTGTGTGTGTGTGTGTGTGTGTGTGTGTGTGTGTGTGTGTGTGTGTGTGTGTGTGCGTGTGTGCGCGCATGCGCATATGAGCGTGTTGTGAGCTCGGTTTGAACTTCAGCGGGTCGTCTGGATGCAATGCGTTGCCATCATGTGATTGGCTGGTTAACCAAGCTCCCATAATTCCGCAGCAAATATGAAGCCAACAAGGAAGTGGCAAAAATTGCAGTTCCACCCTCATCCACTAGGGGCTGGCTGCAGAAGAGAGCAAATCCTCATTGACTCCCATATTGAAAATGCCCATCTCACAGCAGAAATAAACATGTTTACATCCTGCTTCTAAAATCATTTTAGGTTTAATAGATGTAGTTTACATTAATGAACACTCTGAGGGGGGTTAATTTTTTTATAATTCTTCTGTTCAAGTGGAATTAAATGCTTAAAAATCTGAATAATTAAAAAAAATTATAAAATTCTGTACTTTATTTTGCTGGTTGAATGGGGGGGCGGGCTGTGTCATTTAACTGCTTGGTCAAACATGTTGGTGGGGCTACATAAGGAACTTGAGCAGTGCCCGGCTTCTCCTGTCTCCTGCCTGAGAGTAGAAGAAGAAGAGGAAAATATCTTTTCTATAGCGCCTCTCAGGATAAAAATCACGGGGCACAGAATTGCGGGTGGCTGGCTGTTCCAGCCACCTGTTGGGGAAGCGAGCGTCCATTTAGTGGTTCCATTAGAATACGCTGCTTTTTCAGGGAAGTTGAGGCCGCGGTGAGTTTTATTGTGCAGACCCTGGTTTGGACTCCCTATTAGAACTTGTTTTCTATTTTAAGGTGGAATGGAATAGCCGTACTTGTTTTCCTGTGTCAACACACTCTCCTTGTAGGTTCCCGTTACTCACTGGTTTTGAGTACTAGGGCGAGAGTTACTGGAGGCCAACACAGCTTACTATTATTTGGGTCCTATCAGGATTAATTTGCGCCTCTGTCAGCAATGTGGGCGGTGGTAACTAGAAAATGATTCCCGCTAGGTGATCAGTCTAACCTGGATTTATCAATTAATCTAATTGAGCCACCCTATGAAATGGTTCCTTCCCACGCTAAACAGAGACTTTTTCACACGTGCAGAACAGAGCCTGTTTGAACCAACTAACCATTATGGTTTATAACCCTTAGGATGTCCCGCTACAATAAGGAGGAGGAGAGGCTAAGCTCTCATTACCTAAGGTATCTTTTCTTATCTGTCACAACCTGTTACAAGTCCTGGAGTACAGGTACAAGCAAATAAGGTGGCTTACGTCTGCTGCTATATCTGGTCGGGGCTCCCACTCAAAGGCTAAAAGAGTCCTTTAAGAATTGAGAACGAGGATTCTTTTTCCAAAAATTTTATTTCAAAATCAAAAAATGCAGAAAGCGTAAAGCTAAGACTAAATATCCCCTTACGAGGATGCTGCTTCTAAATCTCTCCCTGAGAACAACTGCTCTCTCTTACTCCTCTCATCAACTCTAACGCCGCAACTCCTCCTAACTGCTCTTATATATCATTCTAAAAACTGCAAAGCAAAGCATTTTCCATTGTATAGCATTTTCATGTTGCAAGCACTTTTCAGAGTGAAGCAATTTGCATTACATATATCAGCCAATCACAAAACAGCAAAACAACTTGATCATTATAATTTGTAAGATGGTTTCAGGTTCACCCAAAGTTCAAACTTCCCAACGGAGGACTTCACATCCTGTGATGCTTCCTTCAGTTGGTCCACTTCTCGTTTTCACCTGCCTCGATTCCACTCGCATCAGCAGGCTCCCGCTTATCTTTGCTTCCCTTGTGACCTCTCCCTTTGTGACCTCTTCCTTCGTGACCTCCTTTATTACCTCCTGTGGTTCTGGCATGCGGGGGCTTGCAACACTGGTATTTGGAAAACAATTACCTATTTATTTTCAACGAACTGGGGTACACATGTGCAATTAAAATACAGTAAAACTTCATATACAGTATGTGTATTTTTGGAGGTGTTCTTACCTTGACAGCTGTAGGCATTCCAGGCAGTGAGATGTTTTTTCTGTCCACCGGGGGTCAGCATTGGGACATCACACCGACTTGTGGAACTCATGTCACAAGTTTATCACTTCTGTTGATCGGAACACTGAGAATGAACCAGCTAAAACCTGTTAGAACAAACTATAATCTACTACAACAAGTTAGAACCAGAACCAGAATTATTGTCTTTTTTCATCAATAACTCACCTGAAGTTTGTCCAGATATATTTGCTCAAATGTATGCGGATGATGCAGCTATGTATACACAAGCCAAAAGTGTCCAGCAGATGGCAGGAGATCTTACAGCAGCTTTAGCACTGACGCACAGCTGGATGAGGGACTCGTGCCTCATGTTGAGCACCACAAGAATGCTCTGCATGTATTTCCCAAAACATCCCTTAGACTTGACTTCAGTAACATGTTTCTGGATGGAGTGGAGAGTTGGCTCCAGAATGTAAATATGTTGGGGTCATTCTAGACCCAACGTTATCCTTCACATCAGTAAAGAGTTGTCATTTAATCAGCATTTCCATCATATACGTAGTCATTTAAATATGAACGTGGCTAAAACTTATTTTTACTCTATGGTTACCTCATATATAGAAACAAAACTATTGAAAATATTTAAAAAGAAGTTTAAAAACTTCCTGTCACTACTGCCATGTGTTGAAAGCATAAACTACTGAACTTCAATAACATCATGAAACTTAAGAGTGTGTTTGATGTATGAAGCCCCAATCCCTCGCCCCACCACTACTAAAGGAGTTCATTACATGTAAAGAAAGCTCAAACAGGACCACTGGAGCCACAACATTAGGGCAGAACGTCCTCTCTGTCCAGGCTGGTGATTGGTGGAGCCGTTTTCCCTAATCCATCAGAGCACGCTCTACATTTGACTTGTTAGGGTTAAAACTGGTGGTATGTATGCGTGAGTGTAGAGGTTAAAGTTTTTATATTCAAAAACAGAATGCATGGTCTGCTTAAAGGGGCATTATGGAAGTTTGACAGCCAAAACATGTATAGAAATACCGTAATAAATTTCTTCTTCATACATTCTCCTGCAATGCCCTGGTCCTGTAGAATGAGCCCTGGCATTTTTACTGTGATTTCCTGTTTTTCTGTAAAATCACAGAAAAAGAGAGATGCTCGGGTCGAGCAGGCTGCTTCATGGGCGTTCACGCTCAGGCATAGCCCGTAGCATTTGCTATCAGTAGCTTCAGCAGCAGAGTGAGGTAGTGCCAACTCAGCGACTTTGTCGCTGTTCCTAACGCCTAGTGATGAACCTAGCTACATTTCTGAGGACCCTTAGCTACTTTCTTCTAGATATTTCCTGCAAATTAGCAACAAAATAGCCATTTTCGCTCCGAACCGTTCTTTGAACGTTGTTTTAGCTGCCATCAAGGATATAAATATTACAGATACCAAAGATGTCATTGGTGCTTTAGCTCACCTAGTTAGACGTTGGACTTTTGTGCAGGAGACCCGGGGTTCGATTCTCGGTGTGGACTGATGGCGCGGACATAGTTTATTTAGATTTTGTTTTTTACATTAATGGTATATTTTTTTACAGTAAGATGCCCAAATTTTTATTTGACACTCGCCGAACGGCATTGAATTCACAGATAAAAAAGATGTGGGTTCAACTTTCATTTTGGAACAATTTTTCAAGCAAGGGAAGGGAATGATCTGAGCATGCAGGAGGACTGACCCATCTTAAACCTTTGTCGGCTGTGCTGAAGAGAAAGGTACAGAACCAAATTATTTAATTAATTAGCTGCGTGTTCTCCTGTCCTCTGGGCCACACACACACACACACACACACACACACACACACACACACACACACACACACTCACTCACACGGAGCTGACTGTCTCAGCTGTTATTTTCGTTAAGGATTGTGCACGTACAGCATGCACGCCTCGTGCTACTATTGAAGCTGCCATTACGCTTTTGGCCTGAGGGGGCAATCACGTGCATAAAAATGCAAAACTCCGTAAAGTCCCTTTAAATATACTTTAACGGTATATGGATGTGTACCCTAATATGTTTGTATTGGCCCAGATGGAAACTAGCCTTAGGCTAAAATCTGGTGTGTTTACACTTATGCAGTGTTCATTAACATGCACTGTCCCAAAATAAATAAATAATAAACCTTCTGCCTCTCCACAGCTGGACCTCCCTGTTGTCTCTCCAGAAAGCGGGACGTGGCATCACAGACTATCCCAGCACACCAGAGGAGGAAGGAGTTGTCAGGTTCTCGTGTCATTTTTAGTTCCTCCAAGACACATTCGGCCATGTCCACGTCTGGACCTAGTGTTAAAGTTCAGAGGTCATCATCAGGAGTTGAGTCCCAGTGGACGTACTGTAGGCCTGGAGTTCATTTATCCTCCCCATCTGTTGGTGTTAGTGAATCTGAGGAGTCCGAGTGCTCCAGTCCTAGTCCAGTAATATTCCTGGATGAAGTGGGCTATCAGAAAAGCCTTTTGGCCAAGCTGGACATCCCCCAGATACCAGGAGGCCCCAAAGAGAAGGTTGAGGATTCAGACTCTGAAGTCAGTGAGTTTTTTGACAGCTTTGATCAGTTTGATGATCTGGAGGAGCTGAGCTCAGAGAGCTGCACTCTCACCCTGCCTCTGAACCAAACCAAACCCCCAACATCTCCAGATACATGTTCTGAGACACATTCCACAGGACCAGCATCCAAACACATGTCTCTTGGGTGCTCAACCAGGAACATGAATCCTCACTGCTTTGACCAGCCCACGCTCCCAGCCAATGTGAAGAAACCAACTCCCATGAAGCCTGGTTCTCCCTTCTCTCTTCATTCTGATGGGCTGGACTCTCCTTGGCTGGTGCAGACCCCCTGTGAGGACACTGGTGGCCCTCTCTTCAGTCCTGTCAGTTCTTCTGCTTTCAGCCCACTGGTGGAGTCTAGTGAACCACTGGAGGACAGGTCAGAGCTTCGTAAACCTCAGGATCTCTGCTCCCTCTATAACACTTACTCAGACTTTGCGAGCAACCTGTCCAAAGAGATTCTGGGATCTGTGTGTGGTTCTCGGTCTGCTGTGGACATCAGTGACAACAGGAATCTGAGCTGTGTGTGCCAGAAAAAGTTCCAGAACAACTCCGGATACCTGATGAAGCTTGCAGACATACAGGAGACCGTAACTGTGGCAAAGCTGCAGGAGAAGTCCTCGTCCCTAAAGGACGGCATTCACAGGTTTGCTTCAGACCTGGTGGAAATGAGCCTGGGCAGTGCTCTGCGAGACTTTCAGAAAGGAGTTAACTCCTGTACGACCACCTTGTGCCACTTGGCTGCCAGACTCACCTCCTCTGTTTTTCAGATGGCCTTTCATGAAATTGGCATGCGGCATGCCTACGTGCTGAAGGAGCGGGCCATTAATGGACTAGCTGGATTTCTTGTTAGCGAGGCTGTTGCAGGAGCTCTGAGGGAGTTTCTGACGGTGAAAAAGCACATTTTCCACAGCACAGTGTCACAGTTTGCTGCTGATCTGGCTGAGGAGCTGGTGTTTGAAGGCATCATGGAGGTGTGCCAGTTTTCCCATCCCTCTACCCCTCTCACCCCAGGTGAGTTGTCCTTTGGCCATGGACTGGAGGAGGAGGTGGTGGTGGTGTCCTCCTATGCTTCAGACCTCTCTGAGTCTGTTATCCAGGAGGCATTCATTGAGCTCTCTCAAGCTGATGTCACCTTCACTAGCCAAGCTGCTATTAGTGTTTCCCCAGACAACATCTGCTACGTTAGTGCAGAGAACACCAGCACCTGCAACACCTCTGCTCACCAGCAGGCTCTGAGATCCAGCTTCACTTCAGCAGAACTGGAGTCTGGACAGGAGGTCACTCGCACTGTGAAGAAGGCTCTCTTCACAGTTTCAGGTATGGCCAGCTGCATCCCCGTCCCCCAAGCAGGCCGCACCCTATACCTCTTCCAGGATCCAGAGGAGACTAGCCAGCAAAAGCCCACAACAACCACCAGCACCACCGTGGCTCCTCTCACCTCTGCAGCTGGAGAGGACCCCCACCAACAAAAGGAACCATTCCAAACCTACTCTGGGAACATGGTGGACCTGATCATCGCAGAGGCCTGTGAACTCATCACTGCCTCTAAGGTGAGGAAGAGTTTTGGGGATTGTGCAGATTTCCTAACCAAGACCATTGGAAGCCAAAAGCAAGACACTCTAGACACTTCTCTGAAGCAGCATGCAGACTGCGACTGTTTCAGAAACAAGTGGTGTGCTGGAGCCGACTGGCCGACTGAGCATGCAGCAGATGACCTCAGTCCTCCAGTGTCCTTCCAGACGGGCTCTTCAGACCGTGTCCTGGGTGAGGCCAGTCACAAGAGAAGAGCTCTGGCTCAACCACATCTGGTATTGATGAATACACCCAATGCACCAGGCACAAATGAAGTTCAACCGAGCAGGACTCCCACCACAGTTCTGAGTCCAGATAAGAAAGTGAGCGAGACTCCTCATACTCTCCGCTCCACCCCTCAACAGCACCTTGACATCTCCAAACAGAAGGAGCTCAAACAGTTTTCCAGAAAGCTGAAGACCAAGCTAGCTAAGGAGTTTTCTCCTGTAACGCCACCTCCAGCCCCCCATTCTCCAGCCGAATCAGGTCCTGGTCAAAGAGAAACTAACCCTCGAGTAGACAAAGCTGAATTCATGTCCAGCCTGATGACTTCTCAGTCTGAAAAGCAGGGCAGCAGTGTAGATGGTGAGGAGGAGGCAGGTGAAGGAACAAACAGGTGTGTAGATGCCAACAAGGGCCAGCAGGATTGGAACCAAATGTCTTCTCACCGGATGTCCAACAAGCAAGCAATTTTGTATGCTGAAAGGCTGGTGTGTCACATCGTCTCCATGGCGACAGAGATAGACAACCTGGGAGGATCAGAGGTGGACCTGAGTGAAGGGAGTAGCAGGAGAAAAGATGGTGTGGCTCAGATCTCAGAGAAGACCCTAAATGTCTTGTGGGATTATGCCGGCGAGGTGGCGGGAGAAGTCATCAATGATTTGAAGAAGATGATGAACCCAAGACATCTGTGTCCTCACCACAGAGCCAAGGAGTTGAGGAGAGCAAGCTTTGACAGAGCCAACCCTGAATGTTGGAATCACACACACCAATCCAGTTCAGGTCAGAGCAAAGACCAGGCTGAGCAGTGCTCCGCTGACCTGATAGCCCATGCTTCTGGGTCGTCAGCCTCCACTACACCCCCCAGCTCCAGCTCCCACCTGTCCTCGGAGTACCCGAGCTGTGAGAGTGTGACAGATGAATATTCTGGCTACCTCATCCGGGTGTTGAAAAAAGAGGACAGCAGTAGGGAGCTGGTCCGGGATCAGTATGCGAGCCGTTTGGCGTACCGCTCTTTAAAGCTAGGTCTGGCCTATGCTAGTCGTAAGCTCCAGCGCAGGTCCTCCAGCAGCCACCTGCGGGCCTCCAGGTCTCTGCCTGATGAATGGAAGACATCTGAGACCCCACCATCCAGAGATGGAGCTAGTGAGGGGACCTGGTGTTGCTGCAAGATCTCCCAGGCTCAGAAGAACAGGGAGTACTTCAATCTAATCAACTTTGCAGAATCTTTAGCTTACAACATCACCTGTGATGTCACACGCAAGCTTCACCTGTTTTCCGTTCGGCTTCCAAAGTCCCTGACTGACTCCTGCCTGTATAAGAAACCCAAGTTTGACAACATGGCTGATAGTATCGTGTCCCTCCCCCGACTGTCTAAGGAAAGCAGGAAAAGACATTACCACAGCACAGGAAGCCTGTGTGATGGGCCCGACAACAGCAGGGTCCTGCAGGTCATCGAGTATTACGGCAAGAAGATTGTGGAAGACACACTGAAAATGAGCCTGGCTGTCGGACACCCATCATGTGAACACCTGAGAAAACAAGAGTCCCACACACATTCTCACAGTCAGAGGTCGTCTGTGAGGCGAGATGGGGTTCAGACGCTGGAGGAGGGGCCTTGCCCTTACTGTCAGATCCAGGGGTGTCCGCACTGCAACAGACCTAACCAGCACCACCACCAGCCTTTGATCCAGAGGAGGTCACAAGAGTTGGAGTGTCATTCAGGGTTGGAAAACCTCACTGGTGTTCAGATTCCCAAAATTCTAGTTGACACGGACCACAGGGCAGCGTTTGCAGAACAGATGGTGTCTGTGGCGATGGAAACGGCTAAACGGGAGCTAAGTAACACCAGCCTTAACGCTGACAGTGGGATCAGCCATGATGGCACCAGCTATGCTGAGAGCCTGACAGCTGAAATCATGGCATCAGCTCTGTCCAACGTCTGCCTGGCTGCAAACCTCAGGTAAACCCACGCAAGATCCACACTGGGTCCTCTGCAGGTTATGGTTTGGGTTGATCTCAACCAGGCAGGTGCTGTTAATTCATCCTAATCTCTTTGTTCATCTCTCAGCTCTTTAGGTCGGGATGTCTGTGAGTCCAAAGTGTCTCAGCAGCTGAGTGTTGGAGACGAGAGTCTTTGCAGCTGGTCCAACTTGAGCTTTGAAGAGGATCGTGCGGATGACAACAGCAGCTTCCTCCATTTGAGTGACAGGTAGAAAACAGTTTTTTATTTCAACAGAACGATCCGGGTTTCAGTGTAGCTGTACTGGACTCTGGTCTTATAGCACAACATGTTTTTGAGTCAACAATCAACCAGAACTTTTAATCGCCATTGATTGCATGAGTTTCATGGTTAACCGATGATTAATCGCAAATTATTACACATTACCACAACTAATTGTTTCTAATCAGGGCTTAATTTGAGCCAGATCTTGCTGTACCAAGATCCGGGAACGGTCTTATTTTGAAAGGACCATTTCGGAAACTGTCTGCTAGGATACGGAAACTCACGCGACTAACTTGTGCTATACGCAGGGTTTGAATTACGGGTGAGCTGAAGGGAGCCCGGCTCACCCCAAGAGATGACAGGCTCCTCCTGGAAGCTCCCAGCTTCCACACAGGGGGAGCCCGAAACAGATCCTGGTTCTGCTGATATTACATTATTAATGAGAATTCTCCGGGATTATTTAGAGCTGAGAGGCACAGAGCTCTGATTGTTGATGCGCTCCAGACAGATGCGTCCTGAGCACGACCACAGCAGGGCTGCCAACTCTCACGCATTTCACCCTCTTCACACGCTCTCACGCCACACCTCCAGTCTCTCACGCTAACCCAGCGCCTGCGCTCCCCAAACACACATCAGTGTGTAGGGCTTCTGAAGAACCAGATGATATTGATAGCATTAGCTACTGAACAACAAGCACACAAACAACACATAAGTAATAATTAAACTGGCTTATTTCACACAGAATCCCATCTGTATAATCCAAGCCTTGTGCTTTCCCTGCTCTGGTTGTGAGACGGGCGGAGCGGTGAGCTCCACTGCTGTTGATGGGACGGGCATGCCCGCTTCTCCCAGAACCGTGAGCTGCAGCTGCGCGTGCCACAAACTTTACACACTGATTTTTTTAATGTTCATGGCATTACTTCTCACACAAAGTTAAGTAAAACAAGGTGCATGTGTGTGTGTGTGTGTGTGTGTGTGTGTGTGTGAGTGAGTGAGTGAGTGAGTGAGTGTGTGTGTGCGTGCGTGAGCGAGCGTGTGCGTGCGGATGCATGTGTATGTGTGTGTGTGCGCATGTGTGTGCATGCATGCGTGTGTGTGTGTGTGTCTGTGGGGCTTTAGGCCCAGGACAGTTTTACACCTCAGACCGACCCACTTTAGATCCAGACCTGTTATTAATATTATCACTATTCTTCACACCAATCAGAGCATCCTGTAATGTTCACACACTAGTGCGACAGACAAATCCTCAGTGCTTATCCTGCTCGACTTATCGGCTGCATTTGACACTGTCAACCATGGCTTCCTTTTGTCCGCACTCTCTAGCAAGGGCATCACAGCCTGCATCCTCCACAATAGAGAATGGACGGGAATCCTTGATTACCATGTTGACCACAGCGTTTTCCAGCATTAATTTTCTGGAATCTAATTAAATAATAGGTAAGGGGTTAGCCTATGAAACCTATAAAGAATAAAACTACTTTCAATACATTGGCTGGTAGCTGGTTGGTTGGCAGGACCTGCTGCAGGGCCAGGATGGTCATGTCATGCTCTAAAATGGCGAAGCATGCTAGATGTGTTGTTGCTGTAAGTCAGCTCCTTATCACACACCATGCACTTAACCTTTGATATGAAATAACATTAATATAAAAAGATGTGACAGTATGGGCATCCCATCACTGACACCTACGATTTATAACACGCACTGGCTACCAGCCCACAGAGATAGTACTTTAGCTGACTGGTTAGCGCGCCTGACTCTCATGCCAGAGATAGTGGGTTCAAACCCCGCCCAGGCCCTCAACATTCACCATGTCACAATAGGCTTTTACCAGTGCTATATTACTGAAAGGCAAATCTGCTAGCAGGCTAACGATTATTGTTTGTTTGATTCTTGCTGTCTTTGTGGATTATTTGTAAATAAGAACACAACAGCTTTCCGAAGCGTTGTAAAATCGAGCCACAAGTTACTGTTAATGAACAAATTCTATTTCCAGTTGCTATTGTATGGGAAAGTATCTCTGCTGCAAAGTCAATAGAGAGCTTTTCTGTTTAAGGAAATCTCCTTCTGCTAAAGGACAGACTTTCAAACAGTCACATCTGTAACAACCAAACATCGGCTGCAACTATGACCTCAGATAGGCAATTCATAATTTACATTTATAAAAAATGATAATAGTTTTTGCTGTGATGCAGAGCTCTAAGCCAGTGCAAGAGTATATCCCTCAGTTAATTCACACATTCTTCACCTTATTATGAGCGACCAACTCAAAATATTGCCACACTGGTGAAGACTTCCTTTTTCTTGCAGGCTCCATCTGTAAAAGTTGGATTGTTGGTGTTTAAACCTAGATTCTGTGACTGCAGAATAAAGTGCCCACACCAAGAGTGCATCACTGACATCTCATTCAAACAAACACCCACATTTTAACCTACTCCCAAGTGTGTCCTAAAAGTAAGTGTAACCTTTGGCTCACCTCAGAAGGCCACAAGTCAGATGTTCTACAGACTGACTGACTGCTTCACTCACTCACTCACTCACTCACTCACTCACTCACTCACTCACTCACTCACTCACTCACTCACTCACTCACTAACTCTCACCTAACGCCAACAACACCACGCAGCTTATAAAGAAGCGACACGCTGGCCAAGCCAATGACGTCACCGGCACAAACCGAGGCCTCGGTCACGTGGTTCCCCCTTCCTGATACAAGCCTCGAAGCAGGGCTTCAATTGGCACGCCCACTTTTGCTAGACACACGCTCCGGTGCCTTGCTTCATTTTTCCCATCACTAACTCTCAGATTGTGAGAATACACGTAATAACCGCTTAGAGATGCGAAACATGTCGCTAGCATAGCAGCTAATCACTAGCATAGCAGTTTAACCATTTATATCGATATAAAGATAAAAAGTAATCTTAGTATCCAGATGGTGCCACTAGAGAAGTTAAGCATGGACTAGTTTTGGTACAGGGAAGAGCACAGCCTTCCTAGCAGGAAAAGCTGATGGACTATCTTTTGACCTTTGTTACACCCCGACGTGTGTTGGTGTGTGTGAAGAAGGGGTAACATAATATTTGAATGGAAGGAGGAGATGTTATAACCTAAATTTAGTGTTTTGTTTGTTAAAAAGAAAACCAAAAGTCAACCATCCTACAATAATAATCACATAAGGGAGGACAAGGAAACCCCCGTCTACTAAAAGCGGTAATGAAGGAGCGGAACATGGTTTATTTCTAAATCAAAGAGACGGCGGAATCTACTGTTTACCTGAATTAATCCCGCTATAATCCAGAAATAAAATAAACCAACTGAAGGTCACCAAGGGAGTGAGTTTAAAACGCAAATCACTTCTAACTCAAAACACCTTTCAGTGAAAGGGAGAGGAAAAGAAACACTGATGGCTAAGTGTAACTTAAATTCCAGCTGAAGCAGCGGTACGCGTTTTACTGAAGAGGAAATCTAATTACTGAAGGTAACAAAGCTAATTTCTACAATTATCAATGAGTAAACAACACAACAGACAGACAGACTATAGAAGTTTACTTATCTGAGATACAAAGCACTGTCACTAACAAAGATCACAAGGATCTGGAGATCAGTCTGGGTCTGTTGTCTCCCTGACGAATGAAACTCTGAGCCTATTCTTGGGTGTCTGATTATCTTGAGAGAGAGCAAGCTGAGCTCTCTTGCAGCAGCTGGTAAAGGGAGGAGCAGGAGTAGGAGGAGGAGGAGGTAGCACTGGCCTGTCGCTGTCCAGAGTGCTGAATGGGAGGACAGTGGCAGGGGAGCTGGTGCTGAAGGCCAGGCTGACGACTATACCGGTCTGTGCCATACTACTTTGTTTTATGAGATTTTATACTTTTATTAATCTGATTCATTAAGATTTTATGACTGTGCTTTATTATTTTAGATCTTTGTGAAGCACTCTGTGATTCTATGTCTGTGATGAGTGCTGTACCACTTACTTACCTGGCTGCACTGGACTCCCGCCGAGTCTCGGCCACGCCCCCACCTGGCTTAACCGCTCACCTGCTGATATGACGCGTTGGCGCTCAGAGCCATTTGCCTTCTTAACAAAACGTCCTCCTCCCCTGTCTTCTATTGATGGCGGTGAACAGGACATCCTCCTTCTGGGGTTGAGGGGGCGGTTGATCATTGCCTCAGTGTCTCTCGCTCGCTCCTCCAGGTGATGCCTTTTTCTAACAGGAAGTCTGGTTGAAATAAGTCTCTGCCCACGGTATAACTCACCCTTTAAAATATGCTAGCAGATGTCTTTCTGGACCATCACAAGTCATGTCTACACATGACTGGAAACCCTGACTAGGGATGATGTCTGGAGACATCAAGAAGAGTTCCCATCGGAACAATGAAAGGAGTCTCCATCCCACACCATTTCAGCTCGTCCCACTTTCAACCCGCTGCTCATTAAAATGGACCAGGACACCCGGACAGCACGCTGTGGACATTTAGCCAGGGACATGTGCCCACAGATATTTATGTTTGACGATGTAGCTCTCAGCATGATGAAAAGCTTGTTGTGGGAACTTATGCATGAGTGAATGTCAACACCGTTTACAGATATGGAGTGGGACGAAGCGCTCGTAAACCCACGTACCTGCTTCTGTCATGGTGTTTCTGGCTCACTGCCAACTTCAAAGCTATACTCACCTGCTCTCCAACACATGTCCATTCATTTAATAATTGAATTGTGATCAAACATCATACTGAATGTTGTTCGCTGCATTTTCAACATTTAAAAAGCAAGTTGCATGCTAGGAACTCTGTTCCATCCAACCAGTAATCAACGTGATGAGTGGTCAACACTAGTGCTAGAGCTGGTTTACTGTGATCGTGATCAAACTGGTCATTTGTAGTTTGTTTTTATACAGTTTTGTAGGGTTTTAGTTCCATTATCTCCCTGAAACATGGTGCCGAGCGCTCCTACTGTGACACCCCAGCTGTTTTGTTGTTAATGTGGTGTCATGGACAGCTTGGCTCTGTTGAGGGAATGCAGAGCTAACTAACACAGTAAGCTAGGTATTATTTTATGAGTGTTTTCCTGAAAAAGCTCACGCGTTCCACCATGGTGCACAGATTAGGAACCCGCCCTGTTATCCTGTAATCTGCTGGTTCAGTCCACAGTTTTAACCACAGCTGCCATTAAACTATGGTGCATACTGTAATGCACCGCTAAACGGACAAATACTTTTATAAAAGTCATTACTGGTGATAATTGTCCCCAGGAGTCTTCAAGCCACACTCACGTGTGCGGTTATTGTCCCGAGCGTTACTAAAAACAAACGGGTGCCTCTGGCTGCGGAGCGGGACACCTGCACACCTGGACGACATACTGGTGTGGCAGCTCCCTCTGAAACCCCAGTGTGATCACACACACACGCACGCATACACACACACACACATACACCAGCTATTATACTAGCATGCTTATGTTGTGTGTAGTTCTGCTGGAGGGGGGCGTGGCCTGTTCCAGGTGCATAATCCACCTTCTCTCCTCAACAGCAATGGGAACAGCAGCAGCTGGAGCAGTCTTGGCCTTGATGGGGAAGCAGTGGAGGAGTGTTGGTCATTCTCACCTTCTGACAGGTTGGTCTTCTCCGCTGCACATGGGGGAGGTGGTTGTGTCCAGATCTAGGTGCAAAGAGCTGCACGTGTTCTGGTGTTCATGTTGTGTTGCTGCTGGTCGCCTGGTCTGATCCCCCTAGCAGGAAGTTGGTCGTAACGCCGCGTTAAAGCGCTCTATAAACCAGTGGTATGGTACGCTGTGTCTATCAACACCGTAATGCTGCTCTAGGTGTGTGTACACCAGAACTGTGAGGTCCATGACTGTGACACCAAGATCTGTACTTAACAGTGTCTTAGCTGTTGGCTTGTCCTCTCCTGTCCTCCTGTGTCCTGATTGGTCCTTCATGATGTTTTCAACAGTGACTACATGGAGGACAAGGAGGCAGAGGTCCAGGAGGAGTCCAGCGGTAAGCATGTTTTGTTGTTACACCAGATGTGTGGACTCGGATCAGGACTGGTAAGATCTCAGGCTGGTGAGTGTGACCGAGCTAAAACCATGTCTCTAACCTGCAGGGATACTCTGTGTGGACTGGACTCAACTGCAGAAGCCCAGGACCACACTGCTGATGAGAAACCTGGACGTGAAGGATCTAGGGCGTAGTCCTCAACACGTCACCCTTGACCCCCAGCTGAGGAGCATGCTGCAGTGGGCTGCAGCGTCCATGGCAGATGTCCCTCAGGTCCAGCTCAGTGCAGAGCGAGGACTCCAGCAGGTGAGTCAATAGGTCTGATGTCCAGAGCTTGGTTACGTGTAAGGTGGGGTACATTCTGGCAGTGCAGCAGCTGAAGCAGCAGCAGGTTTTGGTGCTGGTCCTGGCATGGGTGACTGGGATCGTAGCAAGCAGCTTGTTTCAGCCACTGAAACAGTTAGTCTGAAGGAGGACATATTGGGCAAACCTGACCATAGCAGAGTTGCCAGTCCCATGCATCCCATACTCTCAGCCAATCAGAGAGCCAGGAGGAGACGGGGTGGTTTCCCGCTTTGTGACTTTCATTGAAATGTGACCCATGTAGATAAATACTGAGATCAGCAGTGGTTTTAGGGTGTTTACATCCCTTCCAGCGAGGCTGCTGTTACCATGGTAACAACCGTTTGGGCAGTTGTGTTATTCCTCCAGTTAAGGCTCGAAGTGGCAGACCAAAAACCATTTCAGGTAAACAGAAGTGAAGAATGGTGAGGACAGAGTCCAAGCCAACCCACAGACCAGCACCAAGACCTACATCATCTTGCTGCAGATGGGGTGGGGGGTGCAGAGGAAGCCTTTTCTCTGCCCTTAGCACCAACAGAAGACAAGTCACGCTCAGTGGAGTCGGAACCTGAAAGTTTTCACTCACAGCTTGTCCACAGGATCAGGATCACACCTGTTAAGTCCTCAGGTTTGGGCTGGAAACTGTTTTAAAGACCGTAAACTATGTTACTCCTCGTCTTCCTGGAGTATTATTCACCATGGAGACCCCCCACCCCCACCCCCCCCACACACACACATAGAGACCGGTGAGACGCTTCGCTCCAGCAGCACCTCCAGCATGCTCTCTTATATTTCTCATTCCTAACCCTAAAACAGGACGTCCAGACCCTTCTGTCAGCGCTCCTCCTCCGGAACTCTCTCCTCCTCGGACTCAGTGATGTAGGAGACATGATGGACATGACCGTTCAGACTGCAGTCGCTGTCAAAACCATCAGATATGTGTTGGAATCAGTACCGCATGTCCAAGTGACCCGGATCACATTTAAAACGTCATATATGGGTCACACGAGGGAAACAGCAGTTGGGATGTGCGTGATGTCTGAACTTATGTTACACAACTTGTTGTTTGTGTCTGATAAAGGAACTGACCTGGTCAACAAGTCTGTTAGATCTGATGATCCCGAGTCAACACGGGGCGGTGGAGTTTGGGTTCTGAGCACCTTGGGCTGCATCTGGACAGCTATGATGAAGAGGTCCACCCTTACATCATGTCATGGATATTAATAACAGAGCTATAGCTTACTACCTCACCCAGATGACTCGGACGTCTCCAGCTTCACTAGCAGCATGGCCTAACCCTTGCAGAAGCGTTGCTAAGGCAGCTAACAGTAGCTAACTTTAGCTAGCTTCTCTAGTAACCCACTTTTCATATAAAGCTGTAGTCAGCAGATGTTAGAAGTCCCGTCTGTGTGGAGCGGAGCCCCTGGTGGAGCGGAGCCTCTGGTGGAGCCGTGATGGTGGCTCGTGCCTGCTGCAGGCCCAGAAGCTGCTGCCACCTGTGGTCAGGTGTAATACTCAACATGGCATACTGATGTTTGCTTCAGTATCCCGTGTTGAACTCCATCACATCGCTGGGATTGTAATCCTCCGGGCTGAAGATCATGCTGCCTTTTGTACCTGAAGCAGCACCAAACCCCGGGCAGCAAGATGGTGGCTCTGTTCTTGTTCTGGGGAAACCCGCAGACTCCATGTGTGAACACGCTGGAGAGTGTTCAGCCTCCACAGCAACAGTTCAGCAATTCAAACCACCCCGCCTGCACACCCGGGGGCGGGGTTTCTCTGTTAGTGTTCCCCAGGGCAGCTGTGGCAACAGTGTGGTATGTGAATGACAGCCCCCCCCCCCCCCCCCCCACCACCACACACACACCAGCACACTGAAACCATTCTGATTCTGTTCCAGTTGCCAGCTGTGGTCCAGAGGCTCAGAGAGAGAAGGTGGAGAGTTGGAGACCTGCTGCATCAGCTGGTGCGCTACTGCGAGGAGGTCCAGAGCCCCCCCGCAGCCACAGACCAGACCCTGCAGGCCAGTCCAGAACCGTGCTGCACCCCACTGTTCCAGTGGCTTCTGGACCGCACCTGAAACCCCTCCTGGCCTGGGTCCAGTCACCAGAGGGCGCCATGCCAGCACATACGTCTGCTGTAGTGTGTGTGTGTGTGTGTGTGTGTGTGTGTGTGACCCCTACCTTTCTGTTAAATTATTATTATAAATTAGAACTGCTTAGTGAGAATTGGCAGCCCCACCCCTGCATGTCGCCAGACCAGTGGACTGTTTACCTGTCCAGTAATCAGCTGATGTCATCACACACTCCTCTCACCTTTTATTTCAGTTCTCTCAATTGATCACGTTTGAAAACCAAGACATAAACGCTGCTGAGAAACTAAAATTTGTCGTATTCCAGGTAAAAATACAGTATGTCAAAGACCCCCCCCCCCCCGCGTGTGTGTGTGTGTGTGTGTGTGTGTGTGTGTGTGTGTGTGTGTGTGTGTGTGTGTGTGTGTGTGTGTGAGTGTGAGTGAGTGACGGAAAGAGACAACAACCCACTTATGCCCAGGTCTGAAGACTGGATGGTCATTAAACAAAGGACAAATGTGTGTGACGCTGTATCTCCTCATAGCCACTACAAGTACACACACACACACACACACCTGAAACAGAGAAAACATGATTAAGACTGAGGTAACAGAACAGAAGAGTGGAACCAGGAGTAAAACAGGACCAGATGAATACAGATGGCCCTGTGACAGGATGGATCAGACGTTCTACCTAAATCACTGACAGAACCTTTAGGGAGAAGCTTCAAGCCGTGTAGGACTTCCTTTAGCGTTGACTGTAAGAGGGCGCTCGGTCCAACCCCACCTGAGCAGGGTTACCCTCGAGCTAGCGAAGTGCTACAGCATGTCTCAGTGCCTTCCAGATGTTTGGAACGGAGGAGATGCCATAACTCGCTGATGGTGGATCAGGAAGTACGGTCTGATTGGAGGCAAGTCTCTTTCCCCAGAGTGTGTTCAGTTTGGAACGTGGCACTGCCCACATCTGTTCCATGTGTTCACATACCTTACACTGGATAAGAGCCACCTCCAGTGTGTTTTCACACACACGCTCCTGCTGGAGTGGAGCACCCGATGCAGACAGAACCAGTGTTTTATGTAAACAGCTGCAGACAGGGATTTCCTGTTCAGAGTGGGGCCAAAGGTCAGGACCATGCAGACCTTCTGAACCAACAGACAGGGAAGCATTAAGGTGATGTTGAGCACGAGCAGTAGGAAGTTCTGTTATTGTGGATCCACCCTGTGATGAGCTTCCGTGACTTTACTGTGACTCAGCTGCTTCTGTCCTCCTAGTGGAGGAAGCTGAAATTACAACCAACACATGGCTGCCAAATCAAACATGTGACCTAACCGCGTGGCAGCACCTTGTTCTTCGCTCTAGCTGCGGCTCCAACCGCCAACAGGTCAGAACCTGGTAGATGTTCTGAATGCTTGAGGTAAGCAGCTTTCACCTAGCCAGAGCTAGCTACATGACTCATGGATCTGTTCCAAGCTACTGACCGGTGATCGGGTGAACACGCCCCCTCAGCGCCCACTGTGGGATATTTGTTTGATCTCCAGGAACCATCTGGGACACCGAGCCTGATCAGTATTAACAGAAATGTGTTTACATCAAAGGAATGTATTGAATTTGTATTACTCAGACCCCCCCCCCCCCCCCCCCCCCCCCCCGTAGTGTGTCACTGTGTGTGCTGAAGGTGAAATGCTGTGGTGTCACTATTGTTCATTGTGCTGCTTTACGAGAAGTTTTGATGTTTTCCTGCTTCCCTCAGACTTCCAGCCAAATGAAGATATTTATTAAATGAAATGTTAAAACTAACTGTTCTCATGTGCTGCTCTGTTGGTGTTCAAGTCATAATAAAGCTTCTGCTGTGCTGAAAGACCGACTCCTTTAATCTGGAGGTTGTGACTTCATGGGAAAAACTACCTGAGCTGGATTATACGAAGGGGTGTGGCATCGTAGAAGGTGTGATTGGTTGCAAAAGTCCCTTTTCCTTTTTGCAATCTCAAAAACAACAGAACACTACTACTAGGGATGAGCGAGTACACCACTATCTGTATCTGTTCAACCAACTAAATTATCTGTATCTGTACTCGGAATGGGCGTGGCATAACCCGGAAGTGGGCGTGGTTTAACCGGAAGTGAGTGTGGTTTACATCAATATATTATTTTAAGTCTGAAATTGATATGGATTGATCAGAAGTTGCTATGTGTATTGTTTATTTGAAAACTATTTACAGAGCAGCCTCAGAATTGAGATTAAATATTTTGATCACAATAGTAAAGGAACTATTACAGAACAAGTGTTTCAATAAAATCAGAACATTAATATTTAAGTGCATGGATTAATACATCTGAACTCATGCAGTAGGAACTAGGAAATATGAAATGCTAGAACCAGACACAACTTTATATATATTTTTAATTTTAATTTGATTAAACTGATTTTTTCTTATCGTTCTTTGCATTTTGCCCCACACAAAGTAAAAAAAAAACAATGTGGATTGAGGTGTGTGTGTCTGAGAGAGAGAGAGAGAGAGAGAGAGGGTGAGAGAGGGAGTAAAAAAAAAACCCAACCGGAGCGGAGGTAGTGAGTGACTGATGCAGCACGTCAGCTCTGTCTTGTCAAATGCAAGGGCGTCAGTTTGTTTCCAGAATTGCTGGGGACAATAACCATACACTTGAGTGGGGTTTAAAAATTGCTGGGGACAATAAAGTAGGCTAGCACAGGGGTCGGCGGCTCTGGAGCCGCATGCGGCTCTTCCATCCATCTGATGCGGCTCTGTGTTTGTAAAATAATGAATGGATATTTAAATAAAATGCTTTATATTTTACTGCATTAATTTTACATCTGTATGCCAATTCTAAATGTAAAGATTGTCTGCGTAAACCTGAACAGGTCCAACCTGGTCTTACTGTGAGACCGGGTTGACGCGTCACGCTTGTGCGTAATCATAGGCGCTTTATTAGCTGAAGACGATGTGAGATTCTGGGATTCTCCTCAGACGGCTCCTGGATGTGTCGCCACATTGGAGATGGGAACAAGCGCTATTCAGCCAAAGTTTCATCATCAGGGAACATTTTCTAAGTGACAAGTCTCTCTGAGAGACCGGGTTTGGAAAACACTCGCTTCAGTGGGAGGAACCTTCCCACATGTGCTCTGGGTGGCTCTGGGGTTAATCAAGTTTAATTGTTTCTCTTTGCAACAATCTTCACAAGAAGGCAAAACAGTTAAACGGCAGGTTACATATATTCCCATTTGACTGTTTATTTTGACAGATGAACTCAAGGATGTTGCTTGGTTTGAAAGAATTACCCCCACGCACACTGATGCACATGGATGAGCTGACATTTTAATCGTTAACGCACATCGCGGAGGTAAAAGATTCCCATCAGAACATCAGAGCTTTATACTGGACACTGTGTTCAGCGCGGCTCGGAGCGCCCACGGTGGACAGTGAGCTGAAGATCTGAGGGGTTCGCAGCGCAGCGCAGAACCATGGTGCATGCAATGATTTCCTCCCACTGAAGCGGTCTGGAAACCCGGTCTCTCTGAGGGATGTGTCACTTGGAAAAATGTTCTTTTTATGAAATTATGAAACTGGCTGAACAGCGCTTGTTCCCATCTCTAATATGGAGACGCATGATGCGTAGAGACATTTGATCACGCACAAAGTTCATGTGGAGCAGAAGCGGTCGGGCCACGGCAGGTGAAATGTTCCTAGCCTACATGAAGGGAAACTGTTTAATTGTAACATTAATGTGTTACTGGACACGCTGGTCTGGTTGGTTAGACCAGTGTTTGAAGTGGAAAACACACACACACACACACACACACACCAATTAAAATATATGCTGATAGCATGGACTAGAAGACAGGTGATGGTTTACGTATTTAAATGATGATCAGGCTGCTGTAAAATGTAATCTCCATCCACATCCAGACAGAATCATCCTCTATTCTGTCTCTATTTGCTCTGCTCTTGTCTGGGCTGATCAGCTGATGGTGCGCCTAACTAGCGGCTGATGCACATTTTACGCATTTGGAGAGGTGGGCTGGATGCTGTGCATTTACTGGAAGATGGTTAACGCACGGGTGTAGACTACATATTAATGACAAATGAATGAAAATTAAATTGTGAGTTTTTACTTCATATTTTATAAATAAAAATGACGGGGGAAAACATTTATGACGTCTTTTTAAACTAAATTTTCTAGCGCGACCTGCCTGCTTCACTTAAGTCACTGCTTATTAAGGTCTGTCCAGAATTACTGTGGGAAACGGGTAATAATGGCTCTTTGATGGGAATAGGTTGCCGACCCCTGGATAAGATCTGAGCTGGTAAAACAAAAATCCTCATCAGCAAGCGTTTTTGAAAGTGGGGGGGGACACAGCTGCCAATCACAAATTTTGCCGGGGACATGTCCCCGGCGTCCCCGGTTAAAATGACGCCTATGGTCAAATGCACCATGTAAGTTACGAAAAAAGTTACTTTAAATATTCAACCGAAAAAGAGGCGAGCTGAAGAAAACCTAGGGAAAACTCAAGAAACGTGAGCAACAGTGAAGCGATCACAGCGAGAACCGTTACTGTCTGTGTGTGTGCGTGGATGAGCCGGAGCCGGACGGACTGCGCTCCTGGCCGGCTAGAGTTTTGTGTGTAGGGAGGGGCGGGCTCTCTATGTGACTGGCCAATCACAGAGCGTGAAGACAGTCAGTTACCCAATGAGGATTTTCCTTCAGCACGATTACAGATATTTACGAGGTTTACTCGTTTCATGCTCGTACTCGTCAAAAACGCTCTATCCATACCGGATACTCTCTGAAACGAGTATCCGGCTCATCCCTAACTACTACTGAAGATGAGCAGATGACATCACCGGATGGATCTTTAGTGAAGTAGGCCCACACCTTACTACGACCCTCTTTTTCCATCTGTAATAAAATAATCAGCATAAAAGTACAGTTATATATCTGTTGATACCAAGACAAAGTAAAATACATTAAATGTGGCATTTTTATACTTAAAAGTTTAAAAATTATCATGTAAATAAATGATATCAGACATTGTGGCTCAAAACCAATGGCTCTGTTTTTGTTTGGTTCCCCAGCTGTTAAGGTTTTCTCATTTAGTATTCAAGCCTTTTTTTTCCTTCCACTGAATTTTCTACTCCGTTTGTTGTCAGGTTTTTTTTCTAGTTATTCTTCTTTCCCTTTTAGGATTCTTTCATCTTTAAAAATATTTTCATTTATAGTTCCTCCTATGTTCCCCTGCTGTGCTCTGCTCCCACTCACAGCTCCTCCTCATAACTAGTCCTCTGTCATCTCTCACTCCTCAGTGCATACGGTTCAGTTTCAGTCATACTCTGCTGGTTTCAGCGTCCTAGCTACCTGATTTTTGGCATTAAAATACTTTTGAGTTTTACACTTTTGTGTTTTGATCCTTTCCAAAGCCGACAGTATTAGGAAAATAAAAATAAGATACGTTAAATGACTAGTATGTGGCAATGTATAAGCCTTATGTAAAATATAAGGCTGAAAAATACAATAGATTTATTCTATTGTAGAGAGGAATGTTTATTTTCTCGTATTACTGCCCCTACTCCTCTCCCAGCTAGGGAAAAGAGGGGGGACTCCCTGCACAGCGTTTCATTAATTTGTTGCCAACATGATCGTTTCAGCGTCTGCACTATTTTTTTGTGAGCCGCGGGTGAACCGCGTGAGTTTGAAAAGACTGCTGAAGAAGAGCGGAGGAAATTGTCTGAGAAAATTCCAGAATGTCTACCAGAAAAGGGCCAATGTTACTTACTTACTGCCCTGCATGACTAAAGGGGAAGCAGCGTGAGCTCTGCATAGAGCGTAATGCTGTGGCAGTTTTATTTTATTTTTTCAGGTTAGCTTTTCAATATGAGGCCACGAGGCACACAATAAACTTAGGAAGCATGTTGAGGGGAAACATACTTTTGTCATTGCTTATTTTACCATTCAACTTACCACTGACACAACAATATGCTTAAAACTGAAGACTTACCTCCTACTTCCTCATCACCATCGTCTCTGCTTGACTGAATTGCTTCTGCTGCTCCGCTGCATGTGTGCTGTGACGGTGGCTCCACCCCCCGAGGAGTGGAGCCTCACAACATGAGTTCATAAAGCTGGCGCCATCTGCTGGATAAGTAGCGCAAAATCGGCCATATCAGCCGTCTTTTTGGCCGATAGCCGATAGTGTTAATGACCCCTATATCGGCCGATGATATCGGCCGGCCGATATATCAGTCGGGCCCTATTAAAAACAGCATCAGACGCGATCTGTTGTGTCTACGAACCCTGGCGGAAACCCTCAGCAGATCCGGACTGTCAGAAGTCGGGTGGACCTCATGGTACCTAGAGCCCGTCGATTAGCTCCGATACGACCCATCCAGTCTTGAGTTCTGTGTGACACGAAGAGGTACAAGTGGTAATTAGGGTTGGGCATCGAGCATAGTTTGGAACCAGTTCCAACTGTTCATTTTCAAAGTTTTTTTTCCCGATTCTTAGGTTCGACTCCTAGTGTGCCGACGGAAGAGGAATCCGCGGCCGATCTCCGTGAAAAATAAATGTGATCTGCAAATTGTGATCAGAGCTGATCACACTACACACACACACATTATCTACACACACACACACACACACACACACACACACACACACATATTATCTCTCTCCACACACACACACAAATTATCTCTACACACACACACACACACACACACACACACACACACACACACACACACACACACCCACACACACATACACACACACACACCTATTATCTATACACACACATATTATCTATACACACATACATACATACACACACATTATCTCCACACACACACACACACACACACACACACACACATACACACACACACACACACACACACACACACACACACCAATCTGCATCATAGGGGAAAGGCCTGATAAGTTCTGGCTTTATCCTCCTACCTCTCCCCCCACAGAGACTCGCTGACATCACTTCCTTCCAACAGCAACAGATAGTTGGATTGTTGGGAGGATCCACGGGTGGGTGGGTGGGGTTGAGTCAGGATCCAGGAATTCCCTTACATGTTCATCTTTGTGTTGAGAAGGGGAAAACCGACTACATCATCTCAATGATTCTTTGTTTGCCTGAAAGAACGTTTCCCCTGTTGCTGCCTTCCATCACGGTGGAAGGTGTGGGCCCTCAGTGATGTCTGAGAATGGCATCAGTCCGGACCTAACTTGGTCGCATCCCAAACCGCAGGACTTCATTCAGAACCCAGTCACGTGTGGATTCAAAGACCAAGATTGAGACTTTTCGGGTTCAGAAACCTTCCCGTTTTACAGTTTTTTACAGACGTTAGGACCCATTTCCCAATACTTAGGTCACATTTGCAAAACTCTACATACGGTGTGCACAACAGAAGTCTATGTGGGCCAAACTGAGGATCAATTATCATTGCTTTGGCACAAAATGCATTGAGTGACTACATCTCTCAAATGTCATGAAGTCCCTTCTCACTCAGACACAACAACTGCCAAAAATCATTGTACTAACAGGACATGTTGCACTTGCTTACATACTGTACACAAAACTGTAAAACTCATGTTCAAAACAATAACGTACTGCAAACTGAATATGACAACAACATCCAACAGCAATATGTTATTGGAACATAAATGCAGTCTAACCAGCCACAGCTGACTCTAACTGTAGATGAAGAGCTGCACAGGTGTTACACTTTCAATGTATAAAATAAAAGTAGTCAACTGCTGAATAGGTTTGTGTTGTAATATAAACATGGACCCAGCCAGAAATGGAGAAGTGGCTGAAAGAGGAAGAATAGAGGCTGGGAGAGGGCGAGGAGTACGTATACGTGGTGGCAGAAGAATAAGAGGAAGATCAAGAGCTGGAGTCTGAGATGAGATCAGAGCTACTATAATTGATCATGTAGTAAATCATGGTCTCTCCGTGAGAGAGGCTGGTCAGAGAGTGCAGCCGAATCTGCAACGCTCTACAGTGGCATCTATTGTTAGAGTTTTCCGACAGACCAACAGTTAACTTGTATTCTGCTCAGTTGCACATGTCAGATGTAATTAATGTTATGTGTAATTGTTTTTGCATTTCTGCTTACTAGGACTCAACGGTTACCTCACACAGGAGGGAGAGGAAGGATGTTCACTGCTGTGCAGGAAACCGCCATTGTTGATGTGGTAATCAGAAACAATGGGATAAAGCTCACTGAGATCAGACACAGTATCTTGGCAGACAACGTTACCTTTGCAAATATTCACAGTGTAAGCCTGACAACAATTTCTAGAGTCCTGAAGAAACATCAGGTCAGGATGAAACATTTGTACACTGTGCCTTTTGAGAGGAACTCTGAACATGTCAAGCAACTCAGGAACCAACATGTCCAGGTAAGAACTGCTACAGTAATGAACAATACCAAACACACACAGACAATTTATACACATTTACTACAGTAATGTAACCACTTATGTTGCCTTGTGGATTGTTTTCAGAGAGTCATGGAGATTGAAGGCATGCAAACACACCACATTTTCATCTATGTGGATGAGGCAGGTTTCAACTTGGCCAAAACATGGCGACGAGGGAGGAATGTGATTGGGAAGAGAGCCACAGTGAATGTCCCGGGCCAGAGGGGTGCCAACATCACAATGTGCGCAGCAATATCTACCGATGGACTGCTGTTACACAGACCAGTAATTGGGCCATACAACACTGGACGGCTCCTTGTGTTCCTGCATGATCTCTATGGAAGGGTTGAGCTAGGTGAGGAAAGGGATGTGGACAGACGGAATCAGCCAACATATATAATTGTATGGGACAATGTGGCATTTCACCACTCCCATGCAGTCACAGAGTGGTTTGTGGCCCATCCCAGAATGGAGTCGCTTTTCCTCCCACCTTACTCTCCATTCCTCAACCCCATAGAGGAATTCTTTGCCTCATGGCGGTGGAAGGTGTTCGACCATCATCCACATGATCAAATGTCCCTTCTGGATGCGATGTATGCTGGATGCCTGGACATATCAGCAGTAGATTGCCAGGGATGGATCAGGCATGCCAGAAGAGTCTTTCCTAGGTGTGTTGCCCTAGATGACATAAGATGTGATGTGGATGAGAACCTGTGGCCAAATGGAGAAGGCCGAGTAGATTAGCATATTGAATCTGTATCAGTGGATGTTGTGTTTACAAAGTCTTGTGTTTTGGAAGTACTTAGTGCAAAAACAAATACCATTAAAAATAAACAGCATGAAATACTGAATAATTCTGCATCATGTCTGATTCATTCCAGTAGCATCTATTGGAAGTACGAACAGAGATGTGTCCTTGTTTTACACAAGAAAATGTAATGCTACATGTTGTTAGTGTTTTTTAGGTCTTTGTTTTGTGGGTGACAAAGTGTGTTTGTCGGCTGTCAACCTTTACTAGTGTTCTGGAGGAATGTTTATTTGAGACCTGAATGAAGTGTTTTGGTGGTTGTAGTGCATTTTCAATGTGAAATGAACTGTTTTGCCAAGCTGAAACGCCGTTAGGAGAACTGTGTGAAATTTCTAGCAAAAGTGACATTAGTATTGAAAAATGGGTCCTAACGTCTGTAAAACTGTAATAAGAATCCCATATTGTAACAGTATGTAGAGGAACAGCCATCGTTAAATATCCCTAACCCACCTACACACACACACACACACACACACACACTCTCTCTCTAGCTCATCTCCTTCTGCCTTGCTGTAATTTGGTTTACTAAAGTAGTTTTATCCCATCTGGCTGGGAATGTAAATGACACTTTGGAATTCCAGGTCACATTCCTGCTAGTCATTTTAGCAAGAATGTGACCTGGAATTATATGAATGATCATACAGGTGAATCTTAAATGAGAATATTGTACAAAAGGCCTTTTATTTCAGGAACTGAACTAAGGCCAAGAGACCATTTATTCATTTATTTACTTATTTTTAAATGGTTGAGGAGCCAGTTGAGGTGGCTCGGGCATCTGGTCAGGATGCCTCCTGGACGCCTCCCTGGTGAGGTTTTCTGGGCACGTCCAACCGGGAGGAGGCCCAAAGGAAGACCCAGGACACGGTGGAGGGACTATGTCTCTCACCTGGCCAGGGAACGCCTTGGGATTCTCCCGGAGGAGCTGGCCCAAGTGGCTGAGGAGAGGGAAGTCTGGGCCTCCCAGCTTAGGCAGCTGCCCCGTGACCCAACTCCGGATAAGCGACTGAAAATGGACGGATGTTTTAAAACATTTATAATTTGGACACCAATCTTTACCAAAAATTTATGAAACCATAATGAACTTTACAACAAACCTACAAATCTTAAAAAAGCTTATTACACCAGAGGAGACACAGCACAAATGAGTACACGCCAGTTACAGTCTTAGGAGAAAAGCCACGTAAGACTAGAACATTCAGCTGAACAGGTATCCAACCACAGGTGAGTCCAGCAGACAGGTGACTAGAAAAGGGCATTAGCTAACAAAGAGAAGCCCTTCCCATCTCATGCTGGCAGTAACGGCTCCTCATGGAAGAGAAAAGTCACAACATCTGAGAAAGGAAATTATTTCTTCACACAAACAGGCGAGGGCTACAAGAAGATCAGCAAACTTTAGATATCAGTCACAATACTGTAGCAAAAGGTATGCAAACATTTAAGAGGGATGGAAGAGCAACCGTCCTACAGAGACGTCCCGGCCATCCACAGAAGTTAACATCTGGACAGGAGCATCTTCTGATGAGAAGGGCTGAAGCAGAGGCGATTGATTCTAGCATCAGAGGTTTAGGGTGCTGAACACCCAGAGATCTGCCCGGTCAGGCAAGATAAATGTCAACATTTTCTACATTTGAACACAATTGTATTCTTGCATTTATGAAAGAAAACAAAAACACTGTTTTCACTAATTAAATGACAGTTTTAAACATCACAATCTATAAGTTTAACAGGTTATGCTAACACTGTAGCAGAACCTGGTCCAGGTTTAGAGTCTAGGTCAGTGGTTCCCAATCTTCTGTCCTGGAGGATCCCTTGGCTGTGTGGTAACCTCACCATCTCAGCACAAACATGTAGAAGAAGAAAAAGAAATGATCTCTGGTATGGCGCCTTTCTAGATAAAGACCATGAGGTGCTTGTATGTGCTGAATTAGCCCGTGGTGGATCACGAACCCCAAGTTGGGCACCACTGGCCCAGGTGTTGTAGTTTTAAAATGTGAGCAGATTAAAGATGCTCATGAGTGGAAGAACTGGTTGGAATTGCCCTTTAATATTTGGAAACGTAAAATTAAAGCCTGTTTTTAGCTTTGTCTGAATTTCCACAATAGAATGAAACTAAAAGTACCAGTAATACTTTTAGATCATTTCTACTTATTTTTTACACAGTTTTCCACTAATGTCAACATCCCACAGAAAAATAAACCCAAACTTTATTGATAATTTGTCATTTTTTTTTCTCTTTTTCATTTTAAAAACTAGCAAAAACAACATGGTGGTTTTTATGTTTATGTATTTAGCAGATGCTTTTGTCCAAAGCGACGTTTTTATCTCATACAGCAGATATTCAGGGGAGAGAAAACAACAACCACTGACTTTGACCTCTGACAAAAGTCAGATTTAAACTTAATGTTCTGACTTTTTATCTCAGAAGTCTCAGAATAAATAATCAAGGCTTTAATTAAATGATTTCAAGTGTTTGGCTATGAAACAACATGGCCACCTTGTCTGTGTTAGGATCTTCTTATTGGGCTTCTGTAGCACCAGCCGGTGTGATTACTGACGAGCCTGAGCAGCTTTAACCCTTCAGTCTTTATTGTAACAGCAACTCGTCTCCCATTGGTCCAGGATCACTCTGTCGTTCTCTTTTGGTTTGGACCGTACCTGTGTCAAAGCCCCACCTCCTAGCTTGAGTGACAGCTGCTTTTTCACCTCACAATCAGTTTATGCAAGGTTCAAAGACGAAATGGAGACATACAAAATGCCGGACGGCAGGGCTGTGCAGAGACCTTTGAAGGGGCGGGTGCTCAAATTTAAAAAGGGGCACACAGAATAATATTTTCTAACACCATGACATAACCACAGTATACCCGGCTGAATAACAATTCATATTTATTAGAAATTCAAAATGGAAGCGAATCATTATATACACCTTAAGGACAATGTAAAGCAAAAGTAACTTGTTTTGGTAAATGGTCTGTATTTGTATAATGCCTTCTTAGGGTTCTACAACCCCCCAAGGCACATTACAACACAATCAGTCATTCACACACACACATTAACACACTGATGGTGATGAGCTATGATGTAGCCACAGCTGCTCTGGAGCGCACTGACAGAGGTGAAGCTGCTGAGCACAGGCGCCACCGGTCCCTCCGACCACCACCAGCAGGCAAAGCAGGTTAAGTGTCTTGCCCAAGGACACAACAGCATCAATCTCTGATTGAAGTCAGGATCAAACCTGCAACCTTCCGATTACTGGACAACCTGCTCCACCTCCTGATCTATTGCTGTCCTATTTTACCTGATGATGGGGTACAATGTAGCTGTTGCAGGGTAGCTCCTCTTGCTGCTGCTGATGATGCTGGAGGGCAAGGCTGTGTTGATCTCAGACTGTAGGTAGTAAAACGAACAGAGGAGAAATGCTAGTCAATTACAAAATTAATGTAAGATAATAAAAAAATGGCGAAAATTGGTGAAAACTCTTAGAACTGTAAGACAGAAATATCTGAGACAAAGCCTGTGGTAAATAAATGGAACTCTAAACATTAGTGGATAATAGAGGAGTTTATGTCAGAGATAAGAATGTGACAGAAATATAAACAGAAAGAGTTGTGTGTGTGTGTGTGTGTGTGTGTGTGTGTGTGTGTCTTCAATCTCCTCATGTGATCTATCACTCTCCACTTGCTGTCCATCTGAGAACAAGGCCAAATTAGCTATTGTATGAATGAATTATGTAGTTATTCACATTTAACAGGTCTTGCACCGAATCCATAATGAGTTGTGTATATTATTGTTTCTACACTTGTTGCTGTGATGCAACTTACCTGTACTCTTTTTTTATCCAGCTGGTGAGGGACCCACTGCCTTTAGCTGCCTCACGTAGCTCTTTCTGTCGCTGCATCCGCCTCCTCTCCTTACGAGGCATGTCTGTACAATGATATATCATAATTAATTTACAAATATTTTTTCATGCATATAAAACTCAGGCATACACATACTGGGACATTTCATTACTTTTCCAGAAAACTAACTGTATATAATTTGGCCACAAATTTGCTTCATGATGCTGATCCAGAATATTTCCATACTATTTTAATCATAGTGCTTTAGTAATTATAATAAAAATAAAGAATAAAACAATGTTTATGCTTTCATTCAGTTTTACTATCTACTTTGTGCAAAACAGAGAACTGTACAGATAAAATAATTTTGCTGTGAAAACAGTAGTTTTTTTTAAATGTACATCTTTAAAACATAATGTTTTTTAATACAATGCATTCAAAAAGAGAGCAAATATAAACTCCAAAATTTTGAGAATATGCATAGTATTAGAGCGGGTCAAGTGAGCCTCGGAGTCCTTCTCCACCCACGTATCAATTTTAAAAAATGCAACATTAGTAGGCGTTGCCTGGAGGACCGAGAGGGCGGAGCCGCGGCAGTGACGAAGACGATGGCTAACTAGACAAAGCTAGCTCCCTTCACTCTGAGCAGTTATTAGAAGTGGAGGACGTTTCTCCCCCTCCTTACCCAGACACTCGAGAAGAAAGGGACCAAGTCTATTTGGAGGAGACAAGCGGACCTGAGCCTTATTGTTTTGAGCTTGTGAGTTGCCTGAAACTCCCAGAACAGACCCAACAGAACCAGCTCTGAATGGTAAGTAGCCGTTAGCCATAGCATTGGATTAGCTGCAGGGTTTGGCTCCACGGCCCTAAAAAGCTAGTATTAAGCATGTTTTAGAGGTTTATCTGCTTCAGCACACCTGGTTTTAATCAGCAACAAATAGCTGAGCTGCTTAACAGCTAATCTAACCTGTTAAAGCAGGAAAATCCACTGAAACATGCTGGATAGCAGCTCTCCAGGAGCCCTGGGCTCAAGTTACAATCTGCTGCATAGGAAGTTATGAAAATACCCCATGAGAAGATTATTCTGTAATGTGTTCAGCTCACTAAAACTGCCCTGATTTATTTATTTACTGATAACAGCTGCTCTCTTGGTTCTAGGTCCTCTGGTGTCTGCAGCAGGTCTCTGGTGTCGTCAGGATCAGGAGCTTCCGGAAGAATGTGCCTTTCAATGACTCTTTCCCCCTTATTTGTTATATTAATTAAATAAATCTCAATTTATATATTTCCTGTTTTTGTTCATGTCCATAAATACTTAAACATGCTTGAAATTAAAACGAGCTTTTAACAGTGAGGTGCTAGTTTAATTCATCACAATAGAGCTAGTTAAACATGCAAAAATGTGATAATCAATGTAATTTATAAATATCCATTAAAATATCAAAACTGGAATCTAAATGAGATATTTGGCAGCACAAAAAACTTGTCAAACACAATATTTATTATAATAATAGTAGGCAGACAGGAGACAGAGCTGATGGAGGTTCTCAGTCATCAAAGGATGGCTGAAGGCTTTCCAGGAAAAGGAGATGTGGTGTTGTCTCTTCTCTCTCTATTCTGCCAGATGAGCTGATAGGTTACAGGTGTGTGAGGACATCCTAATGCTGTCATAACCAGATGACAGGAGTTATCAGGTGATCAGCCAGGCTAATGATGAGATGCAGAAAGAAAACAAAATCAGGACAGTGTACAATAATATGTGGTGTTGCTCACCTTATGTGCTCTTATAGAATATTAACGTGTGCCTGCCTCATGGTGTAGAGTCCATATTTTGCTGAGTGTCCTGCAATAATGCAGGTTATTAGTTAATTTACTTTTGATAGCAAAAACAAAATATTTAATGTAAAAGTTATTTACCAGGTGAATCAGCTCACACGTCACCACCAAGTGTCACAGGGGCAGAATCAGTAGCCTCCGTCATGATGTAATCACATACTTATTTAATTGTTAATATCTTAAAAATTCTGAAATGTTTTAATTTTTTTTTTACCTTGAACAGTTCACTGAGCTTGCACTGTCACTGAGGTGGAAGCTGGAATCAACAGCAGACACCTTACATCTTGGTCTTTTCAGGGGGTGTGGACGCTGCTCTGGGACTTTCTGGAAGATGAATTTCCATCATGGTCCCCGTGGGTCACCAGACACACTGCGGCTGTGAACTCCATTCTGGCTGGCTATGTAAAAAATAAAGAAGCAGCACATTTATAAATGTTTAAAAGAGCATAAAATCACGTGTAACAATAATCTGTAAAACAAATTAAAACTAGAAGGTAATAATAAAATGTTTACATAGAAGATTATTAAAAATAATTCACCTTTGCTACACCGGTAAGGCTTCATGTCAGCCTGGACAAGTGCATTCTTGCAGCTAAATCAGTCTGACAGCCAGTGTCTTGGGTAGATTTAGCCTGAAAAAAAAAAATAGAAGCACATTGTTGTTGGGAGTTTATAAAGTCCGATAATATACAAAAGAAACTGTCCTATAAAGGCGCTTTATAACATTCCTAGTGTGTGATCGTTGTTATAACGTAAAAGTCAGTCACACATGATGTGGAGAGCCTGAAATATGACCTCCTGAACAGAATTCCTTACAGAACCGGGTCACAAGCTGGATTTCACACTGTAATGCTGTCTGTCAACTAGTGCTGCGTCAGTTAGAGTCACTGTTGCAGAATTGCCGACTGACTAACTAAAGGAAGTGAACCACGTCTCTCAGACTTTGCATTTAGGTAGGAAATTGTCTTTAGAAGATGTTAAAACGTTTATTTAGCGTACTCACCTCAGACTGGAGCCTGCCGTGGTGGGGGAGCAGAGTCGGTGGGCTGCATCTAAATCGAGTAAGAGCCACGGTGGGCACAGCCTCCCTCTTCAAACGGAGGCGTGCAGAATCGCGGGTAAAATGCCCACAGAGCCACCGCAACCATACTACACTACAACTACTCACGAATACTAAGACGATATGGAGCACTAAACCCGAACTACTTTCCCATTTACACTAACAGCCAAACACTAACTAAACTACAATATCCAACAGCCAAACTAACACTAAATAAGTATTTATAACACTAAAAGCTATGCTAAAGACTAGGATATACTAATGCTATATGCTAATGCTAAACTACCGCTGACCTTCTACGCTCGCTTGCAAATCCAACTCCCACTCGCCACAGGGCGTGGCCGAGACGCTCGATGCTTTTATAACTTTGGCACGGAGCTGCTACGTAGTACTCTACTGGTTTACGTAGTATTTTACTCTTTAGCCATTGGCTAAAATTTATTCAAAATGACTCAAATTCTATGTTTTCAGCTGAAGGTGGCGCATTACTGTGGTTTTTAGACAGAATTTTTAATTTTTAAAGAAAATGCACCAAAATGCTAAAATAAAGAATGCACACATTTAAAACACTATTAGACACTCATTTATACAGTTCATCAGCAAAAAAAAAAAGTTAATTTAGACGTTACTTGCTCTTTAACTAAAAAAACCCTCCAGAAGGGCTGAGAAGCCTTAAAATCTAAAACAAAACTATGTTCCCTAAAACGCTGGACAGAATTTACAGACAAGGACTGAATATTTTGTAACACAAAACTTGTGACGGATGTTACCTTTAGTATTTTTCTTATTTCCTTTCACAAAAGGTAGCTAAATTTTAAATTTGTTCAAGTTTTATCAGTCCGCGAACCAGGAAGTGATTCTGTAAACAAGAAGTAGGGCTGTGTGAGACCCCAGTCACGTGACACACAGCAGCAATAGGAATGCAACTTTGCAGTACCTAGTTAACAACAACAATAACATTTTATTGGCAAATTCCCAATATTTAAGATTGAAAAAATATTTTCGTACAAGTACTTATGTACAGAATGTTTTTGGTTAATCCTAAAGCTACTGAGGTTCAGAATCGGTACCCAGCCACAGGCACACACCCAGCTAGTAATATATCACACACACACACCTAGTGCCACAAAACAACTTAATAATGTACAAAATAATCTAATAACTTTGTATAGTGGTGTGCATCCTACTTACCGGTGTTAGTCCAATTTCTCCCAATCAATATGTATGTCCTAAAAGCTCTGCACCACTCGCTCGGCCATGAAGAAAACGTGGGTGCTCGCAGCTTGTTGTAACCGGCTGTGCGCTCTGGCGTGAGGAAGAGACGGTGTGGTTACGTGACTCACGCCAGCTATATTAATTTATTAAACAGAAATTTTATTAATTATTATTTTTGTTATTGTTGAGGGGGCACAAACAGAAAATTATTTGAAAATTTTTTGAAAAATTAGAAAAAAAAATATAAAAAATCATTTAACCTCAAAAAGGGCACTTTGGGCACATGAGACAAAAGGGGCAGGGTCTCAAGCACCCTCCGCCCCTCCCTCTGCACGTGCCTGCCGGACGGTGTCTCAGTTGGCGGGACCTGTGAAAAGTGATGTAGATCCAGGATTTTCCCACAGAAAGCAGGAACCTTGATGTGTTAAAAATCACCACAAACAGTAAAAATAAATAGATAATTCAATGAATGTCAAACTTTAGGGGTGCTAGAGATGAATTTAGGGGTGCCTCAGCCCCCCCCCCCCCCCCCCCAACAGGCTAGAAACACCCATGCATTGAAGAAAATCACCATGCAACTTTATTGCCATATGTGCAAAAATCACATCATTAGGAAATTGCTGCGGTACTTGGTGCAAAAAAGGAAGATAAAAATGAGTGTAGCCTGGCCCAAAATATTTATTTTCTCTAAATATGCCAAAATATAGAAATTATAAATATGTTATGAATTTGTTTTAAAAGTTGTTAAAAAGCATTCAAATCTTGGTTAAAATCATAATAAATACAAGCTCTGTTATAAAAAGAAAAGGACTTATTAAAACGTTACCAACCAACCAGAGGGTTTTGTCTTTTTTTATATGTATTCTAAGTGTGTTTAAAAAAACATGTTGGAAGGAAAAAACTTTCTTAATCTAATTGGTTGTGTTGTCAATTTTGTGTTTTCTGTTATCCCATTGGTTGATGTAAACTGATTGTCCTATCAGGTGTACTGGGGTGGGAACTCCAGGCAGGTTTGAACTAGGCACTCTGCAGGGTGGCACTTGGTTGCTGCATGGTACCGGAGGATGTTGATTAGCAGAGCTAAGGGGAGAATGGTCAAAAATAGCCGTGGATGCAGAGCCTACGTTCCTGTTGTGGACCATTTTTACCCTGTGATGAGTGAGTACTTGATGTATAATGATTGTTGTGCTTAACCGGAATGTGAAAGTACATAATATGTTAGCATTTTAGCACTAGCTAATAGTAGTTATGTAAAGCTATAGGTACATTTTGGAAGCTAAATAGCAATTGCTAATGCACAGTGGACCGAGAGGAATTCTCTGGACTCTTCTTGCTGTGGATAGATGGTAGCAAGTATGGTAAACCACTCTGAAGGTGAAGCTAGCGCATGCCATGTGGTCAAGTGGATTCAGCCTGGTCACGGACAAGGTTTTCACAATAACTAACCTGGTCACCTATGCCCTTAGATTTGTGAGTAAACCTAAGTTCGTGCATTTTATTTTATGCTTGTTTAACAAGTGAAGCAGCCATTTGTGTGTGTTTTTGGTCACAATGAGCCCAAGCAACTATCAGGCGTGCAACAAACTCACAGGCTGAGCGCGTTGGGTTGCGGAATTTGAACTGAAATTTAAAAAAGGGGAAATATATTGTCGAATATGTGTGCTGACATAGTATATTTAAGTTTGTGACTTATGGGAATATTGTTTCATTATTTCACTAAATGTCATGCTCTGAGTTTGTGTGGTGTCTTACTCGTTATTCCCATTGTTGCATTCAAGGTTGAGTCAGAAAACAAGGTTTAACAGATGTACATTCATTATTCTTAGTGGGTAAGAACAGAGTAATTCATATTATTTCTACTCAGTGGAGGCACCGCCATTGTTAATTTCATAATTGGATGAAAATAAGTTGTTAGCTCTTGTTTCTGTTGTTTATCAGTTTTAATTAACGCACCCAGGGACCCACTCATAGTACTACCATCTTGTTACCAGAGGGTTAACACCAAGCTACTGTACTTGAGTTGGGTGCTACATGAGAGATAAGAAAAAATAGGACGTAAGAATATAATCATGATAAAATTATAATATAAGGTGGTGATATTTAAAGGCTACTAAGCACAAGAAAGTGTAGATACTAATCAGAGTGGGTCAGCTCAAACACATTTGTGCTCAAACACATTCTACAAACACAGCACAGAGTCAGGTGACTGGGACCAAGCGACTGGAGTGGGCAGCCCTAGGATTGACATTCATGAGTCCAACAGCAGAGGAGAAGGAACTTTTCTTGTGGTGAGAGGTTCTGGTCCGAATGGATCTGAGCCTCTTGCAAAATGGGAGTGAGTTGAAAAGACTGTGTCCAGGGTGACACGGGTCAGCTGTTATCTGACCTGCACACCTCCATGTCCTGGAGGTGTACAGGTAGGGCTGCTCAATTAATCGAATTTTAATCACGATTACGATCTGAGTTTTGAACGATTATAAAAAAACATAACAAGCCGATTATTTGCTCCTCCCGCTTGCGCTGCCCTGAGTTGCAAATGAAGCGCTCCTCCACAGTGTTGCTAATTTAGCGACTTTGACGCTATTTCTAGCAGCTTTTCAGACCCCCTTCTTGACTTTTTAATCCTAAAAGTACCTAGCGAACACCTGAGAAACATCTCTGGTGACCCTTAGCTACTTTCTGGATAACTGTCGTCGACATTTCCTGCAGGTTAGCTAAACACTCCGCCTGTGCTCCGGACCGTTCTTCACAACATTAGGAAAGGGAATGATGCAGTGATGTGTCGGTCGCTAAAGACAGCTCTCGGAGCCGGTTCCCTGTTGGATTAACCAGAGTGAGTGACACACACACCGCACCTTCGGACTCCTGAGCAGCTAAAAACAGCTAAATGTGCGCGTGCAGCGTGCTAAACACACGTGCAGCTTGCCCCGATTGCTGTGAGACCGGGGTGGGGGGGGTGGGGGGGGTGCAGCTGTGGTCGGGACAATTATTACATTAACTGATGGGCCTGTAAATAAATAGTTTATAAATAAGGTAGAAATAAGTTCCTCACGCTGATAACTAATCTCTCTGAGGACACAGACCTACAGCACCTTGACACGACTCAATAAATGTTATGCAACATTTTGTGAACATCAATTTATTTGCATTTATTTGTTATAAATGCCACTGTATAATTCTTGCTGTCAGTATTTGCAAGATATTGGTATTTGGTTCTGTACTAGTTAGACTCAAGGTCTATAGCCCTTGGGTCATAGACTATGAGCTATAAGTATATTGGTCTTTCTATACTGGGAATCAGGAGTTCTTTTAGTGATCATCTTGTTTCTTATTTTTGTCCTGATTGTGCCCTGAGCAGTTTTATGACTGAATAAAAACAAATAAAATCAACATAAATTGAAAAATCGTCCTAAATAATCGTGATCTCAATTTCAGTCACCATAATTGTGATTATTATTTTTGCCATAATCGAGCAGCCCTATGTACAGGTCCTGTATGGAGGGAAGTTTGCAGCCAATGACCTTCTCAGCAGAGCGTACAACACGCTGCAGCCTCTTCTTGTCCCTGGTGGTTGGTCCTATAGCCCGTGCACAATAAAGCACCCTTAGGATTTGCCAGGACCCATGCTGAACGAGACGAAGACTCCTAGGTCACTCTTTTTGGAACTAATGGTTTCAGAACTGCATGGTGCTGTAAAGGTGAGGATTTCAAAGACAAATGCTGCCTACAGTGAAACATGGTGGTGGCAGTGTAAGTAAGTAAATGTTATTTTATAGCATGCATCACAGACATAGAATCACAGAGTGCTTCACATATGCATCTCACACAATAACTTCTAAACATGGCACATTGGGTGCTTTCTCTGTGGCTGCTCCCGCCTTATGAAACTCTCTCAAACATGTTCGTACTGCTGACTCTCTTCAGAAGTCCCCAAAACTCCTGGAAACGTACCTGTGTTGATATGTTGTAGAAAGTCACTGTTTTACATGAGTGGCCAGCAGAGGTCACTATTTTTAAAGAGCACATTAGGGTAGCACAAGGAAGAAGACAACAGGTGGTGTTGATATAATAAAGAAATGTTTGTTTGAGCTGGAGGCTCAGAGACACGGACTGGTCTGCTGTGTGATCCTTCACTAATTCTTAAAGAACAAAACATGGTGTCAGGAGTGGGATTGTGAAAGGGAAGGCCGACAGAGATACCAGGCAACAGTTCCTATCAAGATGGAAAGTTTGAAACCACCGGAAGGACTGAAGCTGGTGGGAAACGTCGACAGCAACTGGAGGTGTTTTAAGCAGCAGTTTGAGCTGTATATGGCTGCCATGGGGCTAGACTCCATACCAGATGCAAGAAAGATTGCATTGCTACTCACTGTAGCTGGTCCTCAAGCAATTGAAGTCTTAAACACCTTTGAATTTGAAGAAGCAGCGGACAGAACCAAGTATGACAAGGTGATTGAAAAGTTTGATGGA